CCGATGAGCACAAAATTCTATATTTCATAGGGTGAGAGTATTTGTCTTGTTAAACAAGAATCCGATGAGCACAAAATTCTATATTTCAAAAGGTAAGAGTATTTGTCTTGTTAAAAAAGAATCCGATGAGCACAAAATTCTAAACTTCATAGGGAGAGAGTATTTGTCTTGTTTAACAAGAATCCGATGAGCACAAAATTCTGAACTTCCTAGGGTGACAGTATTTGTGTTGTTAAACAAGAATCCGATGAGCACAAAATTCTATATTTCATAGGGTGAGAGTATTTGTCTTGTTAAACAAGAATCTGATGAGCACAAAATTCTAAACTTCATAGGGAGAGAGTATTTGTCTTGTCTAACAAGAATCCGATGAGCTCAAAATTCTGAACTTCCTAGGGTGACAGTATTTGTGTTGTTAAACAAGAATCCGATGAGCACAAAATTCTATATTTCATAGGGAGAGAGTATTTGTCTTGTTTAAGAAGAATCCGATGAGCACAAAATTCTATATTTCATAGGGTGAGAGTATTTATCTTGTTAAACAAGAATCCGATGAGCACAAAATTCTAAACTTCATAGGAAGAGAGTATTTGTCTTGTTTAACAAGAATCCGATGAGCACAAAATTCTAAACTTCATAGGGAGAGAGTATTTGTCTTGTTTAACAAGAATCCGATGAGCACAAAATTCTGAATTTCCTAGGGTGACAGTATTTGTGTTGTTAAACAAGAATCCGATGAGCACAAAACTCTGAACTTCCTAGGGTGACAGTATTTGTGTTGTTAAACAAGAATCCGATGAGCACAAAATTCAAAACTTCATAGGGTGAGAGTATTTGTCTTGTTTAACAAGAATCCGATGAGCACAAAATTCTAAACTTCATAGGGAGAGAGTATTTGTCTTGTTTAACAAGAATCCGAGGAGCACAAAATTTTGAACTTCCTAGGGTGACAGTATTTGTGTTGTTAAACAAGAATCCGATGAGCACAAAATTCTAAACTTCATAGGGAGAGAGTATTTGTCTTGTCTAACAAGAATCCGATGAGCTCAAAATTCTGAACTTCCTAGGGTGACAGTATTTGTGTTGTTAAACAAGAATCCGATGAGCACAAAATTCTATATTTCATAGGGAGAGAGTATTTGTCTTGTTTAAGAAGAATCCGATGAGCACAAAATTCTATATTTCATAGGGTGAGAGTATTTATCTTGTTAAACAAGAATCCGATGAGCACAAAATTCTAAACTTCATAGGAAGAGAGTATTTGTCTTGTTTAACAAGAATCCGATGAGCACAAAATTCTAAACTTCATAGGGAGAGAGTATTTGTCTTGTTTAACAAGAATCCGATGAGCACAAAATTCTGAACTTCCTAGGGTGACAGTATTTGTGTTGTTAAACAAGAATCCGATGAGCACAAAACTCTGAACTTCCTAGGGTGACAGTATTTGTGTTGTTAAACAAGAATCCGATGAGCACAAAATTCAAAACTTCATAGGGTGAGAGTATTTGTCTTGTTTAACAAGAATCCGATGAGCACAAAATTCTAAACTTCATAGGGAGAGAGTATTTGTCTTGTTTAACAAGAATCCGAGGAGCACAAAATTTTGAACTTCCTAGGGTGACAGTATTTGTGTTGTTAAACAAGAATCCGATGAGCACAAAATTCTATATTTCATAGGGTGAGAGTATTTGTTTTGTGAAACAAGAATCCGATGAGCACAAAATTCTAAACTTCATAGGAAGAGAGTATTTGTCTTGTTTAACAAGAATCCGATGAGCACAAAATTCTGAACTTCCTAGGGTGACAGTATTTATGTTGTTAAACAAGAATCCGATGAGCACAAAATTCAAAACTTCATAGGGTGAGAGTATTTGTTTTGTTAAACAAGATTCCGAGGAGCAGAGAATTTTAAATTTCATAGGGTGAAAGTATTTGTCTTGTTAAACAAGATTTTGATGAGCACAAATTGAATGAATTCGTCATTATGAATTTTTGAAAAGTGACATGAGATTCGTATTCAGCGACCTCGAATACCCCTGAGTAACGAGTTTCAAGTGAATTTAGTGAAATGAAAACTGCGTAACTGAAAGAGATAAACTGTTCATGCTATTTACATATAGGTAAGGGTTGATCTTTGTATGATGGGTGAGTTTTTAAAAATGCTCATCTTTACTAATAGAAAGCACATAAAAAGCACAAAATTATGCCATAGTTGCTTTTTAAAATTCTTGCGTCTTATGATAGGTGAGGTGCTGGCTGGGCGTCCAGCTAGCACCTCATCCTTAAAAACAAAAAAAATTAATTTATTGATGAGCACAAAATTTTTCGATTGGGCACAAAATTACCACATAATTAGGACTAAATTATAGCATAATAAATTTTTCGATTTGCGATATTGGGGGTGCTAACTGGGCGGACCTCTGTCAAAAACGCAAAATTCCAAAACAGAAAAATTCACCAAAGTGATTAGTTTTAGGGGAAAATATTAAAATACTAAAATTATCTAATGTAATAAAAATAGGCAGTGTTTTTCTTTTTTATTTACTTGACAATGAGATAAAGGGTCGTCCATATACCACGTGGGCACTTTTTAGGGAAAGTGGGTCTAAAAAAAGTGTATATTTACTTATTAATAAGTTCTTTATTTTACTATTGCAGGAAGCTTGCTTATCATCTATTACTCCGTCCGACACAATTTTTGACCCACAAAAAAATTTAACATTTTCGGAAACTAGGACCCTAAAAAAATACCCGTATCTGGCCGTTTTGCTAGATCAAGTCGTTTGTGGTTTTTAGGGGTGAAAACAACAAGATATCTTTTAAAAATTATTAATATTTTATAAAACTTGGTATCTGGGGGTTTTCGGGGTCACTGATTATTAATCTGATGTCAGATTTTCAAAATTCAAAATGGCGGATCCAATATGGCGATCAAATTTTTAAAAAGTTATTAATTTTTTATTTTATATCCGCCATTTTTAATTTTGACAATTTAACATCAGATTCGTCATCAGCGATCCAAAAAACCCCTAGATATCAAGGTTTAAAAAAAATTTAATAACTTTTTAAAATTTTGATCGCTATATTGAATCCGACATTTTGAATTTTGAAAATCTGACATCAGATTAGTAATCAGCGATCCCGAAAACCCCTTGATACCAAGTTTTATAAAATATTAATAATTTTTGAAAGATATCTTGTCACTTTTTATTTAGGGGCTGTTTTCACCCCTAAAAACCACAAATGACTTGATCTAGCGAAACGGTCAGACACGGGTATTTTTTTTGTGTCTTAGTTTCCAAAAATGTTGGATTTTTTGTGGGTCAAAAAAAAGTTGGATTTTGTCGGACGGTGTTACGAGAGATATAGAAACTGGCAAGAAATTTTAGGATAAATGCTGTAATCTAGTGAAATTTAAATCCGAAGAAGGATTCATTTAACACAAGATGATAATATTAATATATTAAATTAAGAACGGTTAAGTTAATTTTTTCTTATAAGAGATTAATAAATCTATTCCCTAATTTTCTGTTGACAATACTACTAGAGAACATATTTATTTCCTATTGAAAAAATACACATGTAATTTCTGTTTTTAATTCACACTTGAATACAGGCAAAGATAATTATGAGAATCTCTCTACAAATTCTCAAATATAAGAATTTTATCTGTTTAACGATATTTAGCTTTATACAGGGTGTCCCATTTAATCTATCAGGCGAAATAACTTTTAATCAGTTGATTTTACAAAAAAATGTTTTAGACAAAAGTTATTGTGCTTACAGGGGGACATCCAGTGGTAAACTTAAATTTGACCTAATTCAGGTCATTTCAAGGTCAACTCATTTTTTTAAAATGAAACCACCTACTTTTTATGTCGGAAATCGATAAAGAAGGAACTTCCACGTCGAAATCGTTGACGCACTTTTTTTCGATAGATCGACCTATTTAGGACAAATAGGTCATTTAATTATTATTGTATTTGGGGAAATAACTTTAAACTAATTAATTTTACAAAAACATGTTTCAGTCAAAAGTTGTTGTGCTTAAAGGGGAATATTCAGTGATGACCCTAAATTTGTCCTTAATGACCTGAAATAGGTCATTTCAATTTCAACTCATTTTTTTTAATGGGACCATCTACTTTTCATGTTACAAATCGGAAGAGCAGGAAATTCCACGTTGAAATCGTCCAAGTACTTTTTTCGACAGGTCGACCTATTCAGGTCAAATAGGTCATAATTAATTTCACCTACAAGGCCTTGGTTGGGTCTAGTGTTTTTTACATAATAATTTTTGCCCTGACGATTCCTTGCATAAAAACTTGATCTTTCTTCATGAAAAACTATTTGACATAGACTAGATCTAACCAAGGCCTTGTAGGTGAAATTAATTATGACCTATTTGACCTGAATAGGTCGACCTGTCGAAAAAAGTACTTGGACGATTTCAACGTGGAATTTCCTGCTCTTCCGATTTGTAACATGAAAAGTAGATGGTTCCATTAAAAAAAATGAGTTGAAATGACCTAATTCAGGTCATTTAGGACTAATTTAGGGTCATCACTGAATATTCCCCTTTAAGCACAACAACTTTTGACTGAAACATGTTTTTGTAAAATTAATTAGTTTAAAGTTATTTCCCCAAATACAATAATAATTAAATTACCTATTTGTCCTAAATAGGTCGATCTATCGAAAAAAAGTGCGTCAACGATTTCGACGTGGAATTTCCTGCTTTATCGATTTCCGGCATAAAAAGTAGGTGGTTTCATTTAAAAAAAATGAGTTGCCCTTGAAATGACCTAAATTAGGTCATTTAGGTCAAATTTAAGTTTACCACTGGATGTCCCCCTGTAAGCACAATAACTTTTGTCTAAAACATTTTTTTGTAAAATCAACTGATTAAAAGTTATTTCGCCTGATAGATTAAAATGGGACACCCTGTATATGTGACCAGCTGAAGCTAAAGATTCAAATAATCTTCTGATGCGGTCAGACAAAACTTTTTTCTCAGCGAAAGTGAATTGAGTAACATTAATTGAATTTCCGTAACAGTATGTATAACATATTACATTCGCTGCAGTAGTGTTTGTCATTTGTTTTAAAATATTAAACAAAAACATTACATTTACGAAAAAGCCAGAGTCGAAAATCAACTGGAATGTATCAGGTGAGATTTGGAAAACATTTTACATTTTAGAATTTGACTTGTCTTTTTATTTTAGATTGCTAGTATGAATGTTTACAAAAATAGTTTATTAAGTTTGTAAATGTTAATTAAAATTGTATTTTTTGATACTTTTTTTTTTCTTTAAAAAAAAACAAGACTATCATCAACAATTACATTAATATTTGATAAATTCTTTTTGTAAAATTTATAACGTAATTCTTTTTAATATGCTGGTAACGTAAAATAAAAAAGCCAAATAATTCTGAATTATTCCAAATCTTATCTGAATTGTTTTGATTTTCAATGAAAGTTTGAAGCATTATATTTTTTTCATGGATATTATATAAAGTAATATGTTTTTTCGACAATTATTTGCGCATACAAATAACGACTCGAGAGTGAGTGATTTATAACATTTAAAAATCACTAATTTTTGTCAATAAAATAATCGTCATGGAGGTATGTTTATTTAAAATGTTATTAATATTATAATGTGCCTGAATTTTCGAAAGTTCAAATGAACGAAAAATTTGTGCTTTCTATATTCAAAAATAAATTAGGTAATCATTTATTAAATGTTTACTGTACTTTTTGAATTTTCATTAATGTAGTAATTTTTTTGAAAATTTATAGAAAAAAAAATTATTTCGTTCATTTGAAGATTTATAAATTAAAATTAAATTAAAACCAGTATTATTTTATAAAAGACAATAAAATTTTTGAGTTTTTATGTATCTTTCAATATATAATTGTTATTGACAATTTTTAAGAGTTCAAAAAGAAGTATTATTATTATTATAAAATATTTTTTAGTTTACATTATACCTATTTTATGACTTTCATGGAATAGAAAAATTGGAAAAAGTTATTTTTGGTATCGATGTATTACAAAAACAAAAGAATAAAAAATTCTTACGTAGTATGTTCCTGATAAATACAAGTCAAATTTAGAAGCTTTAAAGTCGCATCAATTGATAACATTATGAACCCTTTATAATCAAACACTCATTATATATGGAAAAAAATGCATACATAAATTTGTATTATATTTGACTAATTAGCAGATTACACATATTTATTCCATAAATTGTTATATTTTACCAAATCTCTGAAATATTAAATTTTTATTTATCATCTTAAAGCAAATCGTATGTGTTAGTATTTAATAATAAAAATATTTTATAATTTAAAATTTTTTTTTAAATAATACAAAAATACATAACTAAATGTAAAATTTAAGCAGATTTTATTGACAAAAAGTGTCATAAATTTTTAATTGTTAATAACATCAAAATTATTAACAATATTTGTAAGCTGTAGTATAAAATTTCGTTAAATTTACAATTCTTTAATATAGAAATTCGATTAAATGAAATTTCTATTAAATAGAAATAATTTGAAGAAATAAAAATTCGGCTAAAAGTAAATTCAAAGGTAATGAAAATCTGTTAAATAAAAATGCTAACAAATTAATTTTAAAATTTGTTCATGCATATTGATTAGTTTAACCAGAATTTTTTTCAGTGTTGCAAACAATTTTATAGAAATAAAAAACTAACAGCTATTTTGATTTACACTCGCACAAAGTGGACAAAAAAATGTTGATTTTTTTAAATTAAGAAATATTCATATATTATAATATATATTTAATTGATTTATCCTTATTCATGTTCGTTTCAGTATAATACATATTACCAAATATTGACGTATATTTGTTATTTTTTCTTAATTTTTATAATATTAAAGTTATTAAACATTGTAACTAAAGGAAAATGTAAAATCCCTAAAAGATTGGATGGTCAAGTCATAATTATTACTGGATCAAGTAGAGGTAACTATATACATATATATATATACTTATATATACATGAATTTAAAAATAAGTTCATTACTTTCTTTTTTATTTGAAATAAATTTAAATATTTGTATATTGTTAAGAAAAAATAAATCTAAACTATTTTTTTTTTCTTTATCAGGAATTGGAAAATGTACCGCTTTAAATCTGGCGAAAAGAGGTGCAAAAATTATCATAGCATGTAATGATATAACTGAAGCTAATGAAGCTAGAGGTATTTTTAAAATTACATATATTACATTTTTCAGTAAAACTACAATCCTCACAGCACCGGATATTTAAGGATATCCCTGGGACATCCTATAAATATCCATTTGCTTCCGGCGGTTTGGATATCCCTAGGATATCCTAGGACATCGTGAAAATATCCTAGGGATGTTCAAACCGCCGAAATCAAATAGATATCCCTAGGATGTCCCAGGGATATCCTTAAATATCCGGTGCTGTGAGGGAATTTACTTATACAGTAAAAAAAAATTGTGGTGCAGCAGCTCTTCCAATCGAAAAATTTCTATATTCAGTTAACTTTACTCATATAAAAATTCATGGTAAATACTAAGTATAAAGTTAATTGAATATAGAAATTTTTCATTTGGGACAGCTGCTGCACCAAAAAATTTGTCAGTTTAAAAATTATATTATTTTTCTCTAACACTGTTATATTGTCTATTATTTATTCAATTTTCACAGACGAAATAATACAAGCGTCTGGTAATAAAAATATTGAGGCACACTTTTTGGATTTAAGCTCATTTGATAGCGTAAGGAAATTTGTAAAAAATATTTATGCAACTGAAAAACGATTAGATGTTCTCATTAACAATGCAGGTATTGCTGTAAATTCGAATAAAAAAACTGAAGATGGTTTAGAATTAGGATTGCAAGTTAATCATTATGGACATTTTTTGCTGACTAATTTATTAATCGGTAGGCATTTATTTTTTAACAAACTTTTAATTTAAAACCCACTTGGAAAGATTCCCCGGAAAGTGCCCCCTGGAGATTCTATCAGAATTCCGACGGAATTCCGATTAATTTTTTTCAAAATTTTTAGAGTCCTAATTCCGTTGGAATTCCGTCAGAAATTCTTTGGAACTCCAATGGAATTCCGACGGAATTAAAAAAAAAATGGAAATTAAATTTGTTTTTCAAAATAATAAATTCAACTTTTTAAACTTACAGCGGAGATAAAAGGATTATTAATATTATCTTAACTAATATTTAAAAAATTGATTCGTTTAATTTACACAAAAATAGATAGATTCGTTTTAGTTATAATTTATCTAAATTATATTAAAATTCCTTAATTCACAGATTTATTAAAAAAATCAACACCTAGTCGAATAATTCACGTGTCATCTCTATTGCACTTATTGGGAAGATTAGATTTTCAAAATATGAATTCTGAAAAAGGACATAATTGGCTTACACTTTATAGTGACAGTAAATTGTATAATGTGTTAGGTAGTAATCAATTTGCAGAACGTTTGGAAGGCACTGGTAACAATAAATTATTGTTTTAATTTTTAAAATAAGAACTCATATATATCTCGTTCATTTTTTCATCCAATTATTTTTAAAGGTGTTACATCAAATTGTGTGTATCCTGGTTGGGTCAAAACTAATCTTTTTGAACAAATTTTCCTACCAGCCAGAATCTTAATTGTTAGTTTGGCAACATTGCTCTTCAAGGTATAAAAATAACGGAAAAATTATTTTTATTTATAAAAAATATACTATATAATATTATAATTAAATAAAATAAAATAATTTTATAGACACCAGAAGAAGGTGCACAGACATCCATTCATTTAACAGTTAGCGATGAAGGGTCAAAAGTATCGGGAAAGTATTTTGTGGACTGTAAGGTAATTTTAAAAATTATCCACCTTTTTAGACTATCCCATAAGTTCTGGACCAATTAGTATTAGTGCGTGTGTGAAGTAGTTTTCAATCTCTTGTTTTTTCGCGATGATAATAATAATAATAATAATATTTATTATTCATTTAACGCGCAATGTATTTCTGATGTAAACAATTCTGGCTTTTTAATACGTATTATAAGAATCATATGAGACCACCTGTAGTAGTAATAATATTAATAATGTTTAAACAAAGGCTATAGCCGAATAAGTATGCGAAATCTGCCCCTGCTATTAAAAATATGAAATTCATGACACATGTTGGTATCAGTAGAGATAAAATTTTTCACCAGATATTTTTTAAAAAAATTGAGTTTTGAAAAAGTTTCTCATGTATAACAATATATTGTACTCTCGAATTTAGATATAGGTACATTAACCCTTAGTTTATGATGTGTTTTTTTAAAATGTAATTACTTTTACAGGGATTAATTTATTTTAAGTTAGTTAAAAAAATTGTGAAAAATAAAGGCGAAAAATTGCATGTTTTCACTTAAAATTTCGTTAGTTATTTAAATTTTAATATTATGACTTAAAAATTTAACGTTATACTCTTGATGTATTATTCTTTAAAGAAAAAGTTACCACAACAACAGGACTTGCAAAAAAAGTATTAATTTTGGAGAATAAAATGTGACTTTTTAGGTTAAAATTAAAAATTTAAAGTTATTAATGTTTGAAGCTAATTTATTCTTTTGTATGGAATTAGTTGTATCAAAAAACTAAGAAAATTACAAAGAATATGACAAACTATAATATATTAAAATATAAAACAAGATTCAAAAGCTACACATTCAATTAATTTGAGCTCGAAAAAATGCTCGAGTCTACTTGACCCATAGTGCCAGTTAAGGGTTAAATGTAATTTATCTACTTATATAAATGATTCATTCTGAACATACATAAAATAATTGAAAATGTAGTAATTTTTCTGTTAATTTAATTATTAGTTTTATTTCTTCTATTATTTTATTATATTTATTTTATCTTTTCAATAATATTTCATTATTTATCCTATTACTTTCTATTATTATTTAAATATCCAAATAATGAAATTATTAATTCTAAAATTCATTTTCACTTCCATTTCTACTAATTTCAATTTTCACTCTCATTTTCACTTCCACATGTATTGACTCTGATTTTTACTTTTATTACTTATAATTTTCAACGTCATTTTCATTTTTACTTCCGCTGATTGGAAATTATTAGTAAAAATAAAATTGAGAGTGATCCAATATTAAATGTTCGTATTAAATTTCAATAAAAATCGATTAAATAATATTTTTTTATGTCAGTTATTTATTTACAAAAAAATTACATAAGGAAAGTAGATTAGTACCCTTTATTTTGACTGACAACTTTTGAAATTTTCATTAACCTTTCTGTAAAATAAAAAATTGATTGGATTATTTTTATGAAAAACGTTTTTTCGAATGTGTATTTTGAAAATGATTTAATGATATTCAGACATTGTATTTAATAGAGTTTTTCACATACTTTTTTGTCTTTTTGAAAATTCTATATTCCATGCAAAACTTTAGAAATAAAAATAATTGTTTTGGTATAGAAATTTGGTAAAATCGAACTTTTAAAGGAGTTTTTTTTTAAATTTTATTTCACTTTTGATAAGACATAATTAATTATTATTTTTTTTTAATATTCACCAATTAAGTTTAATTGAAACAATGTCTAAATAATATTAAGATAAATAAAAAAAAATTCTTACGTTTGAGCAACAAGTCCACATGCTACAATCGCTTTCAGGATCATCTAATTTGTTTTTATTCTTACACCATGAAGGTGTAACACAATAACCTGCTTTACCCTCTCCACATCTTTTCGCTTTTGTTCCTGCTTTTGCATCTAAAAAAAAATTTTTTTTAACAACTTAGTAATTCACGGAAAAGATTTGTTTTTTAAACAACAAACAAAAGTACATATATTTTTTTTCTACACTGAGAGAAATATGCTATTGAATCAATAACATTTCTGCCAAAGATATAAAAATTATTTATTAAAAAGCATATGCTATAGAATCTATAAAACAGTTTACAAATTTTATAAAATATGCATTTGAATCAATAACTTTTATACCTTTGGCAGAAATGCTGTTGATTCAACAGCGACCAAAAGGGCTTAGGCGAGGCTTTCATTGGCCTCTGGAATAGCTGGAAACTCGCTGAACGCGGGTCCAACTTAAGTCACGCGTAAACGCTTTTGTTTGACGGCGGTTCAATTGTATATTTTTATCAGTATATGAATTAAAATAACTCGAACTTGACTCTACTTCAAAAAAAAATAATAATAATAACAACGAAATAAATATTTTTGCACATATTTAATGTTTAGTTAATGTTTTATATTAAATCTGTACTTACCAATATAATGACAACAGTTAATAAAAACAATTAAAAGTAGAATGAATGGAAGAACTTTCATGGTTGTTTTACAAGTAAGTCGCTTTTAAGAATACACTTGAAACAATATAAAATACCTGTATTTATACAAAAAAATGACATAGCTTTTAAAACACCTAAATTACCATTTAAACAATTTTGTTGTCAAGATAACTATTTAGATCGAGAATTTTATATATTGTATGTAGCAAAGAAAATGTAGCTATAAATTTTTTTTAATACTAGTATAATAACAACAACAGAAAAGGGGTCATCCATAAACTACATACAGCTCTTCAAGGGGGAGGGGGGTCAAGCTGTTGGCTATACAAGAGGAAATATATTTAATAATATATGAAGTCCATCTGCAATTGCATCTCCAATTTTTTAAACTTTTTTGTTCTTTTACTACTAATTGAAACTATCTTTCATGATTTTTTTCAAATTTTTTTAGCAAGCTGTTTTCGCGAGATATGAATTTTTCAAAATTTCAGAATTTTAAAGACTTTTAATTTTTGAATTCTCATAACTTCCTTAAAAATGCATCAAATTTTAAAGTTTTTTTTAAAATGTGCACTGAGAAAAAAGGTTTGAGCTGACAACCAAATATTTCATTTAATATATGTGCAACTAAAATTTTTTGGTTGACACAACTAAACTTTAGTTGACATCAACCAAAGTTTGGTTGAGACTACCAAATTCTTTTTCATATTCTTATTTAGTCGTCTGAAACAAACTTTGGTTGTTGTCAACTAAAGTTTAGTTGTGTCAACCAAAAAATTTTAGTTGCACATATGTATATTGAATGAAATATTTGGTTGTCAGCTAAAACCTTTTTTTTCAGTGTGTGATTTAAAGAAGAGGAACCACCCCCAATTTTGAGTCGCTTAAATTTAAATTATTAAACGAGATTATATTTCTTTTCTTGCGTCATTTGGGTCCTAAAAACATATGAGGTGGTAAAAAAAAAAAATTTTAATTTTTGCCAATTTTAGAATTTTATTTTTTTTAAATTACTTCCTTTCACGAAAATTTTAAGCTTAGTTCGATCGTGGTCAAGCAATTTTTACAATATTTTTGGAATTTTTAAAAATATTTTTGTTTTTTTTAAACTACGTACTTATATGTATTTTGATATGCTGATTACGAAAATCATAGTGACTATACACGAAAGTTTGATTTTTATGGTGAAAACCATAGAAAAGTTGTAAAATTTATGCTTTTTTTTCGTTTAATGGCTAAAATATGCAAAAAATTTTAAACACTTTTAGACAAAATTTATACATCTTATTAAAATATATTTTTTATATCTTATGCACTTTTTAGACAAAAGTTATAAAAAAAATCGCTTGCCCACAATCGAACTAGGCTTAAAAATTTCTTAAAAGGAAGTGTTAGTTTAAAAAAAATTTTGAAAAAAATAAATCAGTACGTCAGTTGAGAAAAATGACATTTAATCTTTAAAACTTAAAAATTTAACAGTAATATCATTTGAAAAAAAATTTCGATTTTTTTTTTTAAAGTACGTTTAAAAACACACATTTTGAAAAAAACTTTTAAATTTGATGCATTGTTAAGGAAGTTATGAGAATTCAAAAATTAAAAGTCTTTAAAATTCTGAAATTTTGAAAAATTCATATCTCGCGAAAACAGCTTGCTAAAAAAATTTGAAAAAATCAAGAAAAATAGTTTCAATTAGTACTAAAAGAACAAAAAAGTTTAAAAAAATTGGATATGCAATTGCAGATGGACTTCATATATTATTAAATATATTTCCTCTTGTATAGCCAACAGCTTGACCCCCCTCCCCATGGAAGAGTTATATGTGGTTTATGGATGACCCCTTTTCTGTTGTTGTTATTATACTAGTATTAAAGAAAATTTATAGCTACATTTTCTTTGCTACATACAATATATAAAAATTCATGATCTAAATATAGTTATCTTGACAACAAAATTGTTTAAATGGTAATTTAGGTGTTTTAAAAGCTATGTCATTTTTTTGTATAAATACATGTATTTTATATTGTTTCAAGTGTATTCTTAAATGCGACTTACTTGAAAAACAACCATGAAAGTTCTTCCATTCATTCTACTTTTAATTGTTTTTATTAACTGTTGTCATTATATTGGTAAGTATAGATTTAATATAAAAAATTAACTAAACATTAAATATGTGCAAAAATATTTATTTCGTTATTATTAATATTTTTTTTTTTGAAGTAGATTCAAGTCCGAGTTATTTTAATTCATACACTAAGAAAAATATGTAATTGAACCGCCGTCGAACAAAAGCGTTTACGCGTGACTTAAGTTGGCCCCGAGTTCAGCGAGTTTCCAGCTATTCCAGAGGCCAATGAAAACCTCTCCTAAGCCCTTTTGGTCGCTGTTGAATCAACAGCATTTCTGCCAAAGGTATAAAAGTTATTGATTCAAATGCATATGCTATAAAATTTGTAAACTGTTTTATAGATTCTGTAGCATATGCTTTTGAATAAATAATTTTTATACCTTTGGCAGAAATGTTATTGATTCAATAGCATATTTTTCTCAGTGTAGAAAAAAAATACATGTACTTTTGTTTGTTGTTTAAAAAACAAATCTTTTCTGTGACTTACAAAGTTGTTAAAAAAAAATTTTTTTAGATGCAAAAGCAGGGACAAAAGCGAAAAGATGTGGAGAGGGTAAAGCAGGTTATTGTGTTACACCTTCATGGTGTAAGAATAAAAACAAATTAGATGATCCTGAAAGCGATTGTAGCAGGTGGACTTGTTGCTCAAACGTAAGAATTTTTTTTTTTAATTATCTTAATATTATTTAGACATTGTTTCAATTAAACTTAATTGGTGAATATTAAAAAGGAATAATAATTGAACTGGGTTACAAAAAAATGGTCAAGTCGTGTTTATTTAAAATTTTTTGTGTTTATTGAAAGTTTAGGTGTCACTGAACAAGAATATACCCAAAAAAAATTTTTCCATTCTGTCAGTTCCGTAGAAAACGAGATTAAAGTGTCAAAAAATCGCCTTTTTAGCACTTTTTGAAGCGCTGTAAAATGAAAACGCAACAAGATAAAAATCTTCACGAGGGCTTGAATGAAAGCTTAAACCTTCAACTTTGAGTCCCAAAACTGAAAAGTGAATGATAATTGAGCAGAAAATTTATATAACATGAAATGAATATCTCAAATAGTCAAAATAGCTGGGATAGAGAGCACTTGTTAAAAATCGATTTTCATAATCGAATTTATTTGGAACTTGTTACTTGGAAGTTTTTAACGTTTCTATTGACGATTCGAAAGTTGGATTTAAAAAATTCAAAATGGCGTTCAAAAATTCCAAAAATGGAGTGAATTTTTTCGCAGTTTTTTCCTCGGGGTTTTTTGGTGACGCTGATTACGAATTTGAAGTTTATTTTAAAGAATAAAAAATGGCGGATCCAATATGGCGGATACACATTTTTATTTAATTTTCATAAAACTTGGTTTTTAAATGTTTTTTGGGGGTCCTGAAAATATAAAAAAGAGCATTATTTTTGTAAATAATAAAAATTTGTATCCGCCATATTGGATCCGCCATTTTTTATTCTTTAAAATAAACTTCAAATTCGTAATCAGCGTCACCAAAAAACCCCGAGGAAAAAACTGCGAAAAAATTTACTCCATTTTTGAAATTTTTGAACGCCATTTTTAATCCGCCATTTTGAATTTTTTAAATCCAACTTTCGAATCGTCAATAGACACGTTAAAAACTTCCAAGTAACAAGTTCCAAATAAATTCGGTTATGAAAATCGATTTTTAACAAGTGCTCTCTATCCCAGCTATTTTGACTATTTGAGATATTCATTTCATGTTATATAAATTTTCTGCTCAATTATTATTCACTTTTCAGTTTTGGGACTCAAAGTTGAAGGTTTAAGCTTTCATTCAAGCCCTCGTGAAGATTTTTATCTTGTTGCGTTTTCATTTTACAGCGCTTCAAAAAGTGCTAAAAAGGCGATTTTTTGACACTTTAATCTCGTTTTCTACGGAACTGACAGAATGGAAAAATTTTTTTTGGGTACATTCTTGTTCAGTGACACCTAAACTTTCAATAAACACAAAAAATTTTAAATAAACACTACTTGACCATTTTTTTGTAACCCAGTGTTATCTCTTATCAAAAGTGAAATAAAATTTAAAAAAAAGACTCCTTAAAAAGTTCGATTGTACCAAATTTCTATACCAAAACAATTATTTTTATTTCTAAAGTTTTGCATGGAATATAGAATTTTCAAAAACACAAAAAAGTATCTGAAAAACTCTACTAAATACAATGTCTGAATATATCATTAAATCATTTTCAAAATACACATTCGAAAAAACGTTTTTAATAAAAATAATCCAATCTATTTTTTATTTTACAGAAAGGTTAATGGAAATTTCAAAAGTTGTCAGTCAAAATAAAGGGTACTAATCTACTTTCCTTATGTAATTTTTTTGTAAATAAATAACTGACATGAAAAAATATTATTTTATCGATTTTTATTGAAATTTAAATACGAATATTTAATATTGGATCACTCTCAATTTTATTTTTACTAATAATTTCCAATCAGCGGAAATAAAAATGAAAATGACGTTGAAAATTATAAGTAATGAAAGTGAAAATCAGAGTCAATACATGTGGAAGTGAAAATGAGAGTGAAAATTGAAATTAGTAGAAATGGAAGTGAAAATGAATTTTAGAATTAATAATTTCATTATTTGGATATTTAAATAATAATAGAAAGTAATAGGATAAATAATAAAATATTATTGAAAAGATAAAATAAATATAATAAAATAATAGAAGAAATAAAACTAATAATTAAATTAATAATAAAAATTACTACACTATCAATTATTTTTTGAATATTCAGAATAAATAATTTTTATAAATAGATAAATTACATTTAATGTATCTAAATTCGAGAATACAATATATTGTTATATACATGAGATGAGCCAAAAGTTTTGAACGTTCAAATGAACGAAATTTTCCTTGCAACTTCTTTAAGTACGAATTTTATTACAAAATATTGTTTTAAATATCTAAAAAGAAGTTATTGATTTAATAATTGTTTAATTTACTGTAATATTTTACATTGACATCATAATTTTTAATAATTTATAGATTGAATAGAATATTTCGTTCATTTGAACGTTTAGAACTTTTGGTTCATTACCTGAGAACAATCAGTTGCTTTAGTTAAATTTCAAATACATTCAATCGAAAAGTAAAAATTTTCCAGGAACGTTCATACAGCTTTCAGGAAATTGTTATGAAGATGTTAAGTGCTTCATGACAACTATATGATAACTATATCTGTGGGTAGCTTCTCGCAATATATATCTGACAGTTTGCTAACCTAATGCTCTCTTCAAATCATGATTTAATTTATTTAAACTATATACTTATATAATTCAAGATAACCACGTGACATGGAACAATAATCTTGTCAGCTGAAAAAATCCGGATTGTTCCATCAGTAATCGAGAGAGAGAGTTTGCTTCTGCAACTGTACGGAATTGCAAACTGAACAAATCTGACAATAAAAAATTCGTATTGTTGTTAAAAAACATACATTTGTATTGACAACAATCCGAATTGTAATATTAACATTTCGAATTGTAATGTCAACAAATCTATTGACAAGAATCCAAAAATTGTTTGCACAACAATCCCATTTTTCTCCGTGAATTTTATAATTTTCCCTGTTAAAGAAAAATTAATTTCTATTAGTTGATAATAAACGTTGCGTACTTCAGCATCGTAAAATATCGTTTTCTCAGTGTATAAAAATTAATGTTATTTAGGGATGTTAATTTTTTTTTCTGTCATTATTGATATTGATACCCCTACTCCTCTAAACAACATTAATTTGTTTGGGTTAAAATTTCGTCAGTCCTTCCCCGTAATTAAGCACCCAGAAAAAAGTTTTTGTTGATTTAAAGAAGTCTGTTTCTTTAATTTGTTTTGTTTCATTCAAAATAAAATTTTCTTTAAAGTAAAAAATAGGGTTTATTAATTAGAAGAATGTTTCTTTGATTTAAATAATTTTTTTTTTTTGAATGTGCCTTAGAACAAAGAGATTTTTGCATTGATATAGGGTCATTGAAATAATTCTTTAATTTAAAACTGGAAACTTCTTTAAAACAATGATAATTTTTTTGAAACCAATAAATTTTTTTTTAATTAAAGAAATTTATGCTTTAAAACAAAGAAAACAGACAAAAAAAATGATTTCTTTAAATCCATTGCTTGATAAATTTTTTTCATTAAAAATATGTAATTCATTGTTTAATTTCATTTTTTAGAACATGAACTTTTTCAATCGTCCATATAGTAATGAAGATAAACAAATGTTTTGGAATAAATGCTGTGATCTTGTAGGACTAAAACCAGAAGAAAAATTAATTTAATGATGGATATATGAGAAAAATTTTTAATTATACATATTTTCAATATTTGTAAATTAACTTATCAATTATATATACAAATAAAATATAGACAATTATCTATACACTGCTTATTAGAATTAAAAATTCTTAAACTTGTATCAAATTAGAAAATATATTAATTAGATTAAGATAAAACATAAGTTTAAAATTTTTATATCTTTGTAAAATCTAAAATTGAGTTCTTTTACAATTTAAATTAAAATAAATATGTAATAAAAATATAGGTACAACATTACCATGAATTAAAATTTATTTTAACCGACTAAATGGAACTTTTTTTTTATTGTTATTGAGATTTTTATTTTACGTTAAAAATTTTCGAGATCGATTTCTTCATAATTAATAATAAAATAATACTAATTAACGAAATTAGTCCAAAGAAAGAATCAATATTAAACTTAATTTGGGCTGGTATTGTAACCTAATATTGATCAAGAGAATAATTACCAAAAAGCATCGAACCTGATCAAAGGAAATTGGTAAATATATTTGTTGAAAAAAGGACTCACAAAGTTCATTGAACTCTCAGCATCTTAAAGGCCTTTCTTTTTATTTGATTGAACAAAAATCGCTCATGTTTCATCGTGCTGTTTTTCTTTTTTCTCTCAAATTATTATTTTATTATTATTATTATTGTTATTGTTATTATTATTGTTATTATTATTATATTATTAACATAAATTACTAATTTTTTAAAATGTTTCATTATATTTTTTAAATATAAAAATTAAAAGTGCGCTTTTTTTAAATCTGTTGAGCTATTATGTGCCTTAAGTTCCGAACGTTCAAATGAACGAAATAATTTTTTTAGTCAATAAATTTTTTAAAAACTACTACAGCAATGAAAAATAAAAAAGTGTCTTAAACATTTAATAAATTATTAATATATTTTTGAATACAGAAAGCAATATTTTATAATAAAATTTGAAAGTAAAAACTTAAGTAAATAAAGTTTTCGTTCATTTGAACGTTCAGAACTTCAGGCACATGAGCTATTAACTTGATAAAAAGTTAAATCATTGTTAAATTTTTCAATATTAAATTTAAATTATTAAATATTCTGCAAATTTAATTTTAGAAAACACACAAATTTACTTTCACAATATTTCTATTGGTGAAAATAAACTTTTGAAATTCAAAAGCCAAATCCTTGAACCATTATAAAATTTTCTAATTCTTTCAACTTTGATCAAAATTCTACTTATGGACAAAGTGTTCATGGAAGTAATTTTTTATAAACTTCGAAATGTAGGAATCTACCGCACCAACTTCAAGGTTAATTCAGTGAACTTCTCGCAAAATTGTTGGAGGGGAATAACTGTTACTTGACAGGTTGGTACCGTAAGTGAAGTTCAGTCTTGATGCGGCTACTCATCTATACAAAAGTTCATTTTAATTCTGGCACTCATGAAAGAATAGATATTTCCCATTATTTAATAGTAAGTGACTTAAAAAATTTATCTATTATAACTCTGTCAAAATTTTGTTAAAAAAGAAAAATTATTTAATTAATAATTTAATTAATAATATCTACAATTTAAAAAAATTAATTCATAATAACACAAAGGAAAAAATTTAATAATAAATTAATATTCAATAATACGTATTTGTTAAATGAAAATTACATAATTTTACAAAATTAATTATAATAAGTTTAAAAAACAATGCTGAAGTCCACAATATTTATATATAATTAACGATTAGAAAAATAAATTATTTTTTAAAACGGAAAATTATAAATTTAATTATAAAAAGTTTTATCTAAACAAAATGTTTTTTTATAATTTTATTATAAAATTTATAAATTATAAATTTATGAACATTGAAAATATCTTTAAGATAATAACTCATATAATTTTTCATTACAAAAAGTATTTCTTTAAAAATCGTTAATTATAAACATTATGAACTTCAGCACCATTTTAAAGGAGAAAAAATTTTTCATTCAAACCAAAATATAAATTTATTTTTGAATTAAATAAAAATACATTTGACTTGAATGATAAATTAATATTTATTTGTTATAAATAAAAATTTTATTTGGCACAAATTAAATTATATTTTGTGCAAATTAAATTTTCTGTTTGTACCAAATAAAATTTATTCGCAACAAATAAATATTTATTTTAAAAAATATTTTTTTTCTTTAATTCTGAGTGTATATTCAAGTCTGGGTTGTAATAATAATTTATTTCTATCCAATTAAAAAAATTGTTATAAAATATTCCATTTTCTTTTGATTTAATTAATTTATAATTTTAAGTTTAAAAAAAGAATTTAAATTAAATTAAAAATTAATAATTTAAATAATTTACTATAAATATTATAAAATAATTAATTAAATTTTTTTAACAATAAAATATGAAAAAAAATCTGGCAGCCCCCTGCGGGGGCGGCCACATTCTCATCACGCGCTTCGCGCGTAGGGGCTCGCTTCGCTCGCTAGTTTGAGCGCGCCCCGGGGCGCGCGAAGGATAATCGTCCCGCTTCGCGGTCCGATATTATTACGCGCTTCGCGCGTTTTGTTTGTTTATTACAATCCAAAACCTATTAGCATTAATTACTTTTTAACTACACTCTGTAATACAAAAATTTTCCTATTAAATTTAAAAATTGTATTAATTGTACTACCAGAAAGTAGTTGAATGACCCAAGAATCTATTTGGTAGAATGAGATTTTGTAGTTGTTTTAGACTTTGTAGTTGATTTAATTAATTTTGAAGTAAAATGTCAAGAAGAAAGAAATTATTTTTATTTATTTTATTAAAAAGAATAAAATTAATTACACACAGAGTTAAAATAAGTAAAAAAGTAGTTATTTTAAAAGTGGATGTTCATATAATCGATTTGTTTTGAAAAATTTATTAGAAACAACTCATAGTCTTTATTAAAATGCGTTAAATTAAATTATAGAAATAGGTAAGGTTTAAAGGTATTAGAATAAATTTTTTATCGGGCACTGAAGAATGACGGCACTGTAGCTGTTCAAACTTAGTTCCTTAATATTGCGCCGTGGATTGGCCAGGTCTTTGTAATTAACGAAAATCGACAAACCAAATTATTTACTAAAATAAGATATTCCGCTTTGAGCTAATTTCAATTGAGTAAAAGAAAAAATTAATTGAAGTGCGATTCCAGGTGAGATTTTGACTTTTTCGGAGTAGGTTAACCGATTGCAATGAAACTTTGGAATTTTGTTATATATAGTAAGACTAATCTTTAACGTAAATTTCAGCTTAAAATATTTGTTAGTTTACGAGATTTGCAATAATAACAAAAAATGCGAGTTTAACTTATTTAATTTTAATAATTTACGTGTATAAACAATTGCGATTTCTGCTAGTTGACGTGCAGACGTCATTGCGCACGCAGCATTCTCCTATAACTAGCTGACGTGATTCGTGGACTAAATTGGCTACGTGAGAATGCTGCGTGCGCAATGTCGTTAATGTTCCTTTGGAACATTAAAGAAAACACAGGTAAGATCATTTTAGCGTTTGAGTGATTGAATTTTAGATTGTTGCGTGAAATTTATTCAATTATTATTTAATAATTTTTTTAGTTGTAAAATTATAAAAAATTGTTCTGAAAGAGATTTATTCCTCTCATTTTCCTTGACATTTTAAAAAAAGTAGACCTCAATCCGATTATTAGAACGGAAGATATAGCACTTTAAAATTTTTTGTTATTATTGCAAATCTCGTAAACTAACAAATATTTTAAGCTGCAATTTACGTTCAAGATTAGTCTTACTATATATAACAAAATTCCAAAGTTTCATTGCAATCGGTTAACCTACTCCGAAAAAGTCAAAATCTCACCTGGAATCGCACTGAAAATTTAAAAACACTAAAAAAAAAGAACTTTAAAGTAAAAGCATTTTTTAAAGCAACAAATTTATTATATGAGGTTTTGCTCTCATGTTTTTATTCATAAAAATTTTTTTGTACAATTTATATAAGTGAAATTTTTGGTTTTTATAAATTAAATTTCATTTTCTTAAAGTACTTTGACTTTAAGGATAACATTCTCATCACGGCACTCGCGTTTCACGCTCGAAAATTAGAAACATACAATAGGAAAAGGAGGCATGCATTAACCTATTAACGAAATTTTTACAGGTAATTTGAGGCTCTCTCAAATAGTGTACTAAAAGAACCGAAAATTTTTAAATAAACAATTTACAAGCATTAAAAAAAAGATTTTTTTAGAATTTTTGTTCAGTTTTTATAATTTTTCAAATCTTATCCCTTCAGAATACCTTTAAATGCTAAAAATATGGTGTCAAAAATGTTCCAATACGCCATTTTGAATTTTTAAAAACTGACTTCAGAATCGTAATGAGCGACCTACACACCAAGGAGTAGAAAGATTTATTTAAATTTGTTAAAAAGATTGTTGAAAAATGAATTTTCTCTTAAAAAATATCAATGTTTCTACTTAGTTAATTCATAATTCTTTATAATTTCGCCTGCAACACTTATTATTTTTGTTTCACTTCACAATGCTTTCGTTATAGTGGAAAAAATGTTTTAGGAATACTGCTTCAAAAACTTTAAATCTAGAGATGAAAGTTGCTAAAAGAAAAGGTGGCAAAATAGGTTAAAACTGGGACGCAAAAAATTAATGAGTAAAATAACCGAATTTTAAAATAATCGAATCAATGTTAAATTATTCCGTTATGATGGGCCAGCCATTTTGGATTTTTTAAATCTAACCTCAAATTCGAATTCAGGGACCTCGAAAACAACAGTGTACTCATTGATACTTAAATAGAAAAAGATTTACTATTTTCTTCAAAGGTGTACAAATACGTTCAAAATCACAAAAACGGAACGTCTTTTTATTGGGATATATATGAGCCATGGACTGTCAAGGGGTTAGATAAAAAAAAGGGCTAAAAATAAAAGAAGTTCACTAAATTCAAAAGTTAGCAATCGAAAACTTACAATATTCTAGTAAAAACAGTGCAACATGAACTAATCAGAAACATTATGAAAAAAATTGCAATTTTTGGAAATGGATAGCAATGGTTCACTTATATAAAAAAAAAAAAAAAAAAAAAAAAAATTCGGTATTTTATGTGTAAGTTACTTTAATTTATGTTAATTGAAGGTGGTTTAAAAAGAAATAATACATATTTGAACACATTTTTTCAAAATAAAGTAATTTTGCTCTGCATTTTACCCATTTTTCATCCGTTTTTGTCATTTTTTGTCTTTTTTTAAAGAAGTGCTATAACTTTTTTGTTTTAATCGCTATTAAAAATTGTCAAAGGAAAAAAGTGTTTATTTTTAGTCGTAATTTTCGAAAAAAAATTAAAAAAAATTTTTTTTTGAAAAATGCGAATTTTTGAAATTTTTAAAAACTCAAAATTTGAATAATTTTGTTGATTTTTGACGAAATCATCTGGCCAACGAACTCAGGCGAGATTTTGGTACACTTAAAGTGTATACCAAATTTGAGGTCGATTAATTAAAATTTACTCAAGTTATCGTCGAGACAACTTTTTTGTCTACAGACATACAGACATACATACATACATACATACATACATACATACATACATACATACAGACAAACATTTGTTTAAAACCTATTTTTTTGGCATCAGGATGTCTTGAAACGTGGAGATTCACAAGAATTAGATATTGGTCAAAATCGGGCAAATGTAATACTTTATCATTATGATGAGAATGTAAAAAGACATTGTATACAATTAAAATGTAATTTATTTACAGAAATTTCATGTAATTTTTATTTAATTATTTAAAAACAAATTAAACTATTTGCATTCAATGAGTCCTTTGGTAATTTAATATTTTTTCCCTCACTATTTCATTTGTCAAGAAATTATAAAAACCGGTTTTGCTTAATGGGGTTGCAACAAAATTGCTCATCCTGGACAAATAAAGAAAAATGATTGTCAAAAGAAAAAAATAAATAATCCTTGCAAAAGTAATAACTGAGGTTCGTTAGGAAAATGAGAAAATTTATTGCAAAATATGCACAATTATGTGACGATAAAAGATAAAAATAGTATCTCGACGACATATAATTTTGGAAAAATTTATGTTACTAATAAGATTCAATGTTCAAATAAAAGACGACAGATAAAATCTAAACTTTAAATGTAACTCCAAAGTACTTTTTAAATTTACCGTTTTTTAATCCAACATTAAATTTATTCGTATATTTACCGTTTAAAAATTTTTTTTATTATTTTAATTTGTATTAAACTTTTAGTTATTTTAAATTTTATTAAAATTATTTATATATTTCATTTGAATTCAAATTGTTATTATTTTAAATTTATTGGATTTTTATTAATTCTTATTTGTTTCTTCATACTGATATAATTAATATTTGTGATTTTTGTTCACATTAATATATACCTACCTATAAAATAATTTTATATTATAAATTAATTTCATTATTATTTTAGAGTAAATAAAAAATATAATTTTCAACTGAAAAAAAAGTAAATTTTTTTTTAAAATTTTGATCTAGAAATGTTATAAAATTTTGTTTAGATAAAATAATTATAATAATTTGCATAAAAAATATATTTTTTAACGATTTAACCTTCACCGACATATAAATAATTAACTACAAGTTTTGAAAAAATAAATAAATTTTTGTTACAGATGATGAATCTGAGCATAATATCTTGCTCAACCCTTTGTTATTTGGCGGCTGCAGTAATTTTTGGCGGGGCATTTTTATTCATCTCGGCAATAAAATTGTATTTGTACTTCAGTTTAGGTGTTTGTAAGAGTAAAAATAAAATGAATGGAAAAACTGTTATAATAACTGGCTGCACTTCTGGAATTGGAAAAGAAACAGCCAAAGATCTTGCCAAACGTGGTGCTCGCGTTATTATGGCGTGTAGAAATGTGAAGAATGCCACAAAATTAAAAGGTTTTTCACATTATTTTTAATTTTATGTATAAGAACTCATTAAACTTTTCTACTTAACTAACCAATTGTAGCCGAACGAGCTGAGAAATTTATTTGAAATTATTTACTCTGCTTTCTATTATCTAATATTTATGTGCTTTCTCATACATAAAAATCATTCTCTATAAAGGCAAAAATAATTTGATCAATAACTCTAATTTTTAGCGAGAAGAAATTTATTCTAATTTCATTGGTGAATTTAATGATTTTTTGTCATATTTTTTTTTTCTTTTATAGTTTTAATGAATTCTTTAGAAGAAATTTAAAGAATAATTATTATATAATAATAAAATGCTTGGTCTGTCCTTCTGTCCTAACTTGAAGTTGGCCTTTTCTGATTTCACGTGTTTTTTTGAATAGTAATCTTATGACGTGTCAAATTTTGACAATTCTTTTTCTCATTTTTGCCAAAGTTGTATAATTGTGTTTCCAAATATCGGAATAAGTTTCTTTAAAATTCCAAATTCGAAAATTCAATTCACGAAGCTGAAGTATACACAACGTTTACCAACGAAATTTTTTTTAAAGTTGTATATTGATTCAAAAATTGTATACAAATACAAAAAATTTATGCTGAGAAAAAAGATGCGCCAGGAAATTCGTATAAAAGATAGTAATTTGAAAAAAATTTATTTTTAAAAATTAATTTTTAAGGTAGCAGGGGCCAACAATTACCTATTAAATATTAATTATAAAAACACAGGCCTCGAATCAACTTAAAGACACAAAAAGTCGTTTTGGTCGATTTATATTCCAAAAAAAGTGGAATTGTTTTTTATTTTAACAAAAATATTTTACAGATTTTTAAATAAAAATTTTTTTTTAATAATAATCTTTTTCGAAGGGTTAAAGTTGAAATTTTTAGAAATAATTAAATTTCAAAAGATATTGTTAATTTTCAAACAATTATTAAATTTTACAGAACTAAAAATAACACAGGACCACAAAATTTTTTTTTGGAAAATATACATTGACCGGACTATGTGTTCTATACGTATTTTGACGCGCTGAATTCAAATCTGGGCCTACTTTTGACCCAGCACGTTACAGTTGTGAGATAAATGAAAAAATACACCAAAAAATCAATTTTTTTTATAATTATTGAACTTTTATAAAGGGACGTATTTCTCTGATAATTTTCCACAGATCAGTTGAAAATTTTATAATATATATTTGTAAGAATTTACTCCTAATTGTTCTGTAAATTTTTTAAAATGTAAAACTTACCAATTAAATCAGTAAAAAGCACTTTTTTCCACGATATTCAAAGAGCGTAGATGTTTGTTTTTAAACGAGAAAAGTTTGTATGGCATTCATGTCATTTTTATTATCTTCAAAAACCATTTAAAGCCAAAGAAACTATCTAATTAATGATCACTTCTCTTCTTCATATATTTTTAATATATATACATTTAATTACATTTTACTTAATTATTTAACGGTTTTAAATTTCATTCACATATTTAGGGAACAATTAAGAGTCAATCTTACAAATAATTATGAAATTTTCAACTGTCATATGAAGAATAATATCAGCGAAATACGTCCCATTATAAAAGTTCGATAATTATTAAAAAAATTGATTTTTTGGTGTATTTTTTCATTTATCTCGAAACTGTGACGTGCTGGGTCAAAAGTAGGCCCAGATTTGAATTCAGCACGTCAAAATACGTATAGAACACATAGTCCCGTCAATGTATATTTTCTAAAAAAAATTTTTGTGGTCCTGTGTAATTTATCAAACAATTTTTGGAAAACATTTTTTAAATTTAATTGAATTTTCAAAGATTTAAAATTGAGATTTTTGAAAGTAGTTGAAACTTTAAGTGTTTTGTAATTAAAATTTTAGATGATTTAACTAAAAATTTATTAGAAAATGCGGACAAAATACAATAATTTTAAAATCATTTTTAATTGAAAAATGGTTTCAGATAGTTGAATTTTCAAAGAATATTATTAAAACAGTTAAAAATAATTGAATTTCCTTAGAGTTATAATTGAAATTATTAAATTTCAAAAAAAACATTTTCGATGGAAAATTTTACAAATAATTAAATTTTAGAAGTTTTTTAAATTCAAATTATTAAATTTCAAAAAAAACATTTTCGATGGAAAATTTTAGAAATAATTAAATTTTAGAAGTTTTTTAAATTCAAATTATTGAAAATTCAATTAATTTTGAATTCAAATTTTTGAGAATAATGAAATTTGATTTCATTTTAAATTGAAAATTTTTGGGAAATAATTGAATTTTAATTGAAATTTTGGATAATAATTTAATTGAAGTTCATTTTTGATTGAAAATTTGGATAATTAATTTTGAATAGAAATTTGAGAAAATAATTGAATTTTATTTCATTTTAAATTAAAAACTTGGTAAATAATTAAATTTTAAATTGAAAATTTTTGATAATTAGTTGATTTTTAATTGATTTTGAATTAAAATTTCGGGTAATAATTGAATTTTAGTTTATTTTGAATTGAAATTTTTAAAAAATAATTCAATTTTATTGTGATTTTTTTTTTTTAAATTATAAACAATTGTTAAATTTCATAAAAATTTTAATTGAAAAATAATTTTGATATAATTGAATTTGGGATATAGGTATTTCATTAAAATTATTAAAAATAATAATTAATTTAGTAATGAATCATTTTAGTTCAAAATTTGTTAAATAATTGAATTGAAGAAGATCTACATTTTATACTAAAAAAATGTATTTTATTTACATTTTTTTCAAATGTAAAAAAAAATGTCGCATGTTATTAAAATAATTCGATAAACTTCGTATTTTTGAAAAAAGTCGGAAAAAGTCGTATAATCCGAGGCATATAATTTTCATTATTATTATTTAATATGTAATAATATTCTAATAAATTAAATTATTATTGATAATATTAATCTTTATAATTTCTTTATAACAAACAATGAAATACTCAATTTGGCGAGCTTGCGCGCGTTTAATTTTGCTAGTTATTAATAAAATAATTTTCTGACTTAAAAATAAATAAATTGTAATAAATGTAAAAATTAATAATTAATACTATTAATAATACTAATAATAATAATAATAATAATAAATAATAAACATATAAAAAAGAAAAAACTTAAAAATAAATCATTGAGCCATTTAAGGCAAAGAAAATTAAGACGTTAAAATAATTTCAATTTGCAAATTAATTCGTTATTTCATAAATATTTCAAAGTTGCTTTGTTTCCTGAAGACATATTCAATATATATATATATATACTCATTATAATACTTTCCCAATCAGTCGCATTTAAATTTAATTGCACTAATTATCGACTTGAACCAAATTAATTGTTTTCTCTTGAAATGTTAAAATATTATTGTATATCATATAAATTACATTAACTTATTTATACTCTCAACTTTTTTATAATTACTCAATAAATTTTTTTTATATTTTCAATTTTTCAGATGAATTAATAGAAGATACGAAAAATGAGAATATAATTGTTCGTAAACTAGACTTATCGTCTCTTCAATCAGTACGTGAATTTGCAAAGCAAATTAATAAAGAAGAAAAAAGTTTACATGTTTTAATACACAATGCAGGTACGGCTGAAACATTTAGAAAAAAAATTACCGAAGATGGTTTGGAAATGACAATGGCTACTAATCACTATGGACCATTTCTTCTGACTCACCTCCTAATTGGTAAGAATATTCAGAGAAAAGTTTGTTTTTTTAACAAAAAATTTATCATTTTGTTTGTATTAAATTTATTAGTTATTTCAAACAAAATTTGTTTGATTCAAATAAACATTTATTTGATTTAAAAAAAACATTTTTTTGACTCAAATAAACATTTAATTTATTTTAATCTATTTTTCGAACGATAAGAAAGAATTTGATTGAGTCAAATAAACTTTTGGTTGATTCAATCAAAATTTGGTTGTTTTAAACAAATTTTTTTTCTGAGTGAATATGAAATAACAATTAAGTTTCTTTATTTGATTCAAGTGTTTTTATCAACACTTAGAGAAAAGATATATTTGTCTCAGAGCGAAATAAATATTTGTTTTAAAAAAATTTTATTTTACTTAAATAAAAATTTTATATATGCACTAAATAAAATTTTACTTGTGCTAAATAATTTTTTTTTATTTAAAACAAATAAAAAGTTACGAGTCTCTGAATCAAATATATTTTTATTTTTTTAAAATAAATTTTATATTTCTCAAATATATGTCAACAAAATATTTCTCTTAGTGAAATCTTTTAAAAAAACAATTATTTATTATTATTATTCTTGTTATAAATAATATATATTATATTGCAAATGATTTATTTTTATATGGGTGTTTTTGATAGTCAATGGGTGTTAGCACCCGGTGTCAATAGTGATGCTCAAGTATTTTTAATCAAAAATGGTGAATTGCAACATGTGAATAGGGCTTTAATTTAAAATTTGATATCTGCTACCGGCACTCTCGCTAGATGCACGTGTCTTGTATAACACATAATTAAAATTGTGATTTTTTACTTATTGATATTTGATATATAATTAAAAATGAGTGATGAAAATAGATTTATTTTAACCGAAGTGACAGATGACAATGGAAACAATATCATCAATGAAGAAAATAATTCTTTATATAGGGTATACGGAAATGGTAAGTACACTCGATTAAATCTTTTAATTGTAATTTTTTTTAGTAATAAATGAGACGCAAATTATTTCCATAAAAAATGACCAATTATTTAAATTGTAATTTAATTTTTGAATGATCCAATTTGTAATTTATTGAAATATTAAATAATCAAAATTTTAAACATAAAAGGATGCATAAATATTCTTCATATTGAAATTATAAGAATTTTTACAGTGTTGATTGAAAAATTATCGAATATATATTTAAGAGAATTTTATAAAGTAGATTTTATATTAAACTGAATTTTCACTGGGAAAATTATATTTTAACTTTAAAAATATCTTGTTGGCTCCTATTTAAGAATATTTCCCATGAATCTTATTCTTAAAATAAAAAACATTCCTTAAATTAAGTATTTTTTTTCTTTTGTCTGTAGAATATTTTGTAACTTATGAATTGTCTTCTATTTTAAGAATATTACATTCTAACTTTAAGAATAAAATGCATGGGAAATTTTCTTGATTATAGTCGCTGAGAAGATATTTTTAAAAATATAATTTCTTCAGTGAATACATAGATAACAATTTTTATTTATCTAAATTTTTATGTAACAGAATTTTTATGTAGCTTCACTAAATTTCCATACAACAGAATTTATCATAACATAATTATGTATATTAAAATAATTCCTATCTTATAGAATTTTCATCAGGGAGAATTTGTATTCTAAGAAATATTAATTCAACAAAATTCTCATGAGATGTAATATTCAAATAAATAGAAATTCGATTGAAGATCAATTTTATTAAATTAAAGTTTCCTTTTGTAGAAATTGGATAAATATGAATTCTCTTCAATAAAAAGCGCGTTAAATGAAACCTACATTAATGCTTTTATTATTACAATAAAAATTGTATTAATTTTTTTGATCACTTATTCTATAAACGACAATTCTATAAACCTGTACGATTTTTTTATTACCTTCTTTTCACATATTTTTGGAAAAAAATTCATGTACTTAAAGATTTAATTTAAAAATAAAGTTATAAAATAAGTAAAGTGATTTTCTGAAATTTAAAAAATCTGAAAAAAGGTTTTAAATAAAGTTATTATTTTTATAGGTGTTGATAATTTAGCATATTTGTCTGCGACAGAGATAGAGGAATTAACTAATGCCTCCATAGATGACTCAGATAATGATAATATCGAACATCAAATTGATGATCAAATACCCGAGCCGTACGCAGGATCCAGCGGATCCACTAAGGGAGAGTCGGGTAAGTTTAAACTGTTTATAGTAAGAAAACTCGAGAATAAGAAAAAAAATTAAATTGAATTATTTATTAATGAAAACATTGAATAAATTATAATTAAAGTGTCAGTGGTAAATTAATGAATTTTTCAGAGGTGCGGGTATATTCGACTAATTACCCGACAATAATAGTTTAAACATTTAAAAAAATTATTGTTTGAAATTTTACTGATGATCCTATAAAAATTAAACTTCTTATATATATATTTACCTTCTTCAATTTTTCTAATTTTTATTTTTTTAAAATAATAATTCTAATATTTTTTTAAAAAACAATTTACAACTAATTAATAATAATATTATTATGACTATAAATTCCATACTTTTTATTCAGCTAAAAGAACTTCTGGAACATGGAAGGATAAAGAGGTGGAAGCCTTAATAGACAGCTACAAAGAGGTTACTGAAGCATCAAGAAGTGCTGAAATTGGAACTCCAAATTTTTGGAAAAAAGTTAGTGTGTTTCTAGCCACAAAAAATATACAAAAATCGTTGATTGAGTATAGAGAAAAATTTAAATCATTGGATAGAACTTATAAAAATAATTTTAAAAAAAAATTCAACGGGCGAAGGTCCTATAAACTGGGAATTTTTTGATAAAATGCACGTAATTTTGGGACGTAAACCTCAAATTAATCCAGTATCAACTGCTTCTAGCATTGCTGGATTTAAAAAACGCATTGACACAGAAATCGAAGAATTTCATGAAAAAAGCGTCGCCGAGCCACCAATAAAAAAGGGCAAAAACAAAAAATTCAAACCAGCCAGAATGGCTAAAACAGTTGAAGGAGGAATCAGCGGCTCGCTACAAAGAAAATAATGAATCCAGAGCAGAAGCGATCGGACTTCTTCGTGACTTGTCGAAATACAAAAGAAAAAGAACAAATAGTTTTTCTAAATCACTTTCTTATTTCTTCTTGTTTTATTTCTTTACTTGAATTATTTTATTCCTTTTTTAAAGGTAAATTACTTTTTTAATTGTGTAATCTTTCTAAAATTATGCTTCTTTCAAAGTTGCAATAATTAATATTAATTAAGGGATGAAAATACTCGTGAGATCCTAAGGAATCGAAATTTCAATATTAGAAAAAAATTAAAGATAGGCTTATCAAAAAAAAATTTGTTTAAACAATAATTTTTAATTTTTTTTGTTTAAAAAAAAAAATTTTTTTTTGTAAATTTTTTTTTTAAATTGTTAGCTAATAATACGTATTCCCTGAAAAAATCATTAAAATCGATTCGTTTTTTTTGATACAAATTTTTCAAAATTTCAAAAAAAATTTTAAAAGTCCTGTAAATCCCAAAATTTTCAAAAATCGCTTTTTTGACTTTTCATTAGCATGTATTTCACTACATTTTCCCAAAGTTTCATCGAAATCGAAAACCTAGGAGACAAATTTGATTTTTTAGGCATGATTTGACACAGTAATTATTTTAATTGTGTAAAAATTTTTATATTTGTTTTTTTTTTGCATTAATACATATATTAATATTATATTAATATAATACTTTTATTTAGTTTAAATAAAAATCTTATTTGAGACAAATAAAAATTTACTTACACTATGAAGATAATTTTTATTTGAAATAAAAATAAATAATTATAAAACTCTGAGACAAACATATGTGTGCTGACACGGTGAAAAGGATATCTTTATTTAATTCAAGTAAATTATATTTGCTTTGAATAAAAAAAATAATTTCTTTCATGCAAGTTTTAAAAATGATAAGTTGAAGTTGAACATTAAATGCCAATGACTTGTTTTACATCACAAATATTTATCTATTGTTTTATGGGTATTTGTATATATATATACAGAAAGCAATATTTTACAATAAAATGTGAAATTAGATTAATTTTTTTTTATTTAAACGTTCAGAACATCAGGCACGTGTCAAATCAATCAAAGAATGACATTGAAATTCGAAAATTAATCTAAAATGAAAAACCTACGTAAGACTTAAAAATTGTTAAATAAAAATTATTAAATTTTTAAACAGTTTTACGTATAACTTTGAAAACTATCGACAAAAATATTCTTTCTAAACGAAAAAGCCAACTGTAATCTCTTATTTTTAGCATAAAAAATGTTATTACTTTAGTTCAAGTTCGTTGATAATTTTATCATAGTTTTGCGAAAGTTAAAATATTGAAAAGATTCTAAACAATTTTTACATAATTAATTTATAAATTTTTTTCAAGGCTTTTTGTGAACTTTATAATGCCCAAAAAGGTTTTCCCAAATAAAAATTTTTTACTTGCTCCCGTTTATTTTTATAAAATTAATCCTTTTTTTCAATTTTGACTTTTGAATTCCTAACATATTGAAAAATAATTTAAAATTATGGCCAAAATTGAATTATTTTTTCTTTAAATACCAATAACAAGATTATTTATAATTACAGTAGTAATACAAATACAAAAGAAATAATATAAAATACGAAACAATCATTTGCAAGAAAGCAATTTGAATTAATTACAGAGAAAGAAAAAAAGCGTAAATAAAAATATTTATATTGTTTGTTTTTAATAATTTTTTAAAAACATCTTAAAAGAGATAACCATTGTGTTTTATAATAAGCTGCCTACTTTTTGCTGTGAAAAAGCCACATATTTATTATGAACGATAAAGAAATAACAGTATGATTTCAATTCATTATTATCATCATCCTCATCGTCTGATTCTAGATTATAGTTTTCATTATGGTTGAACATCATATATCATTTGTACTAGTCTTACCATTCTTTCCTCTTTTGGGTTGTCGTCATACTCTATTAGTTTTATAACATCTTCACCTTTAATTTTCGTCGCCTCCATCCTGTCTTTCTTCAAATCTATCACTTCAGAATATAAGTATTGTATTTGATAATCTTTTTTCAATATATGACTTAAATCTATTAATCCAGCCTGGTTTTTAATTATCACTTTGTGAATTAATAATTTTCCATCAAAAGAATTATTACAATTTAGACAATTTTCTAATGCTTGTTCTTCAGTGTAATAAAATGTATAGTCTATTTCATAATATAACTTTTCATCTTTTTCGACATTTAATAATCTTTTAAACTCCTCCATAGGCGTATACTCAACACGATAAAGCGTAATTGGATTATTGATAAATTCCATATTACAATATCTTAGAGCCACTCTATAAAGTGCAATACTACTTCTAAAAATATCAAACCTTGAATCAGAATTTTCATAAATAACTGAATAGATAATATAATAATCCGTAAAAGTGATTGAGTCCTTAATTTCAGGTGTAGTCCAATATTTTTTAAACACATGTTCTACTTTCTTTATATCAACATTATTATAAAAATTTTTAATAATTTCCAATGCATCATTCAAATAATTAATCCTATTTAATGTATTTTGAAATAGCACATCATCAACGAGAATACTATTTTTTATTTTATACTTTGCATATATTGGCGGAATATAATTATCACCTGATTGAATTTCCTTTGACAACTTATCATAAGTAGGAACTGAACTGGTATCATCATCGATGTTTAAAATATATTTTTTAAAAAACTTTTTCATCTCATCTAATCTGTGTAAAGGCGTATTTAAAGATATAAGGTATGCAGCATTATCAATACTTTCCATTCTTTTAAGTTGATTTTCCTCTTTATAGGTCAATGTGAAATATTTAAGTTTTCTAATCTTTTTCCATTCGTCTATTGTAGTAGGCTTTTCCTCCAGTTCCATTTCTAGAATTCCATTTAATTTTTTGGTCACTATTACAAGGAACACAACTTCTGGAAATACAATGTATTGGTTTTTAAAACTATCATGAAATGCTGCTAAATCGACAAGTCCATGTTGAGAATTAAATTTGATGTGATAACGAATTTCTGTATTCTTTAAGTAAATTTTTGGCTTTTGCTTGGAATTATTTTCATAATTGGGCTTAATATCTATCAATTGAGTAATATCATTAAAATAAAACTCTTTTCCTTCCAAATTCTTTAAAACATCAACAAAATGTAGTCTTGATATTGTTTCACTAAAATACATGATTTGTTTCTTATTCTCATTTTCCTGTGTTTCTAATTTTCTGACTTCATAATTATTAATTGTCTCGACACTTTTTCGAACTCTTTGCAAAATATCTTTATCTTTTCTTATACCAGACATTCCTTTTTGACAAAATTGTTGTAGTGACATAACCCAGCTATTGTATAAATCGTCATCCAAAGAATAGGGAATGTTTCTTGCCATTTGTGAATTTCCAGTAATATCAGCATTTATCAAATCTCTTTGTGAAATCTCGATGTTATTAAAGGCGTTGGCTAAAGGTAAATTTTTTCCTTGAAATATTGGTGAAATATATTTCTTAAAAATTCTTTTAGTTACTAAAAAATTCAAATTTTCCTTGAGGTGAAAAAAACAGTTGTCTTCATTGTTGATTTTTGTCGGAAAACGTTGAGAATTTTGTTGAAGAATCTTGAAAATTTTATTATTTTCCCGGTTAAATATTTTAATATTCAATTGGAAAATTTGTCTTTCAAAGGAATACATAGATGACATAATGATGTATTGATATTTTTCATCCACGTATTTCATATCAGGTATATCATCTGTGTCAACCTGAGAAGGTTGACTTTCTTTCAGCATTTTTTGCAAAAATTGAAGCTTCATCTCGAATTCATTGTTGAAATTATTAATATTTTCAAAAAAAGTAATCAGTGGATGGTGATTTAAATGTTTTTCTCCCAGTGTAATTAGGTCATGCTTATAAAAGGTGATACCAAAAAAAATACAGACAGGAAGAAGCTGAAAATTTGATGAATGTTCAGCAATTATTGTTGTGCTATTCATTGTATATTGATACAATTTATATTTCCTTTAATATATTTTCCTTTTTTTAGTTATACACTGTATAACATTGATCTTTTATTAACCTTGGATTTTGTGTTAATAGAACTGAAATAGTCATATATATTCTATGTTTAATTTTAATTTAATGAAACAAGAATTATTTTTAAGTTATTAGCAAATACATCTAGAATTATTTTACGAATTCTTTTAGAAGAAGTTATTCTTATAAATATTCGTCAATATATATTACAAAATATTTATTAAAGATTTTGATAAACTTTATTTAAGAAAGAAAGATTAAATTTTACCTTCTATTGTTTAATCCTTTGCGAAGAACAAATAACTATACCCTTTTAGTAGAGTCACTACTTTTAAACTGAAAATATTAATGTGCTTTTCATGTTTGACTATATCATAAAAATTTTATTTTTTTTGTTGGCAGTTGATATATGTTTAAATCTTTAAAAACAAGTTAAAAAGGTTCTTAAAAATAATTTTCTCACGATTATTGCATTGCCTGCGCTCGACCAAAAGATAGCATACACGGAAAGAAATTTAGTAGCAATATTTGATAAATCTGATAGACAATTTTAGTATTCTCTTTTTCAAACGCGGAACATTTGGGTTTGATAACGAAAATCGGCATATTTTTACCAATAGTCTTTTTAGTAAATATATTCCAGAAATTGAAATTATTATTACGTAAATTGATAAATTTATACGAAAAACCAGAAGTAAGTTAAACCGACTCGCACTTTGTTATTTACTAAATTTATATGAAAATTTGGAAAGATTATTTCGAAATTTGTTAAAACCATACTAAAAATTCGAAGTGGTTCAGTCGTGACAGATGACGACAGAAACACCAATAGATTCTACGCCAAAGTTTTATCTCTTTCTCATCTCGAGGATAGACGAGGATATGAACTTTTAAATGCACACACACACATACACCGCATTGTTTTACATCGATTGGCTTATTTTTATTCCTAACCTATACTAACGATAATACGTATAACGTGCGTATAACATTCGCAGGATATGCGATTCGATAAACCTAACATAAAATTCATGCGATAAAATTTTGGAATCAGCTCACCTTCGAATGTCGAAATAATTTCTTCTTCAAAACACAATTTTTTTAAGAAGTCTTCTTACGTCACTCATCTTTAAATGTTTTATAAATATAAATAAATAACATTTATTACTTGTTTATAAAACCCAAAAATTGTTTACGTGCTAATTATGTATATAACGTCATGAAAACCAATGAACACTGACCGACACTTAATACTCTGTGAGCCAAAAAAAAAACAAACAATGGGAAATTCCCTTTCCAAGTGTTTATTATGGTTGAAATAGTCAAGTTGCAACTTGACAAAATAACATAAATTTGTTTTTATGTTTTTTACCTTCCACTGTTCGAATTTTACTTCTCATCAAAAATTAATTTAAATTTGACACACATATAAATAATTAAATATTCAGTTATATTGCATACAAGTATTATTATTATTAGATGCACTAATTTATCATTCAAATAAATATAAGAGTTATGAAATATTATGCAAATCATGATAAATAAATACTGACAAACACTAACCTCTCTTAATGCATCCGCCATGATACAATTATAGATGTATAGTAATGGTGCACGATACTAGATGGCGGGCGGCGCTTGTTTCCGATGAGCAAAATATTTTGCTAACTAATTGAAATACATCTTTCCCGCACTGATCTTTATTATATAGGCAATTACACGTGAAATTTACCTGTGACATTTTGAATTCGGATAAATATTTTTTTTTCGGTTGCAGAAAAAAGTTGTATACGTATTTTTTTATAAGTGTCCAAATTTTTGATTTATGAATTTTTAAAAATTTAGGTTTTTCGAGGTTTTCTCAAAGTAAACCTAATTTCAATGACATCTAACTCTAAAAGTATTGAATTTAGGAATTTTTGCCAAGATTAAAAAATGTTTCAGTTTTTTATCGACTTTCAAAATATGTTAACAAAAAAAAGAAAATTTTTTACATAAAATAACGATGTTTTGTAAACAAATTAATTTTTTTTAACTTGGCCCCATTTTTATTACTTTTTTTACATACCTGAAAATAATAAGGATATTTTTTTCTTTTTTGTTTTCTTTTATTGTAAAAAATAAAATGCATTTTAATTTGCTCTTCTATGAGTAAAGTGAAAGATCCTAATTTTTTTATTTAACAAAATTGTCATTTAACTGAAATTGTACTTACCTGAATTTTTAAGTGAATAAATTCCTACCCCCGATGCATCGACAATAGTTCTAGTGCACCTTTTCTGACGCCTGAGTTGTAGATGGCGTTACTTATCACGTAAACCTGAATTTCTACAGATTTGAATGTACTAAATTTAAAAATATTATTAATAATTATTTTAAAAGTTTAAAAATTATACATATTAAATCCAAATCTGTGAGTCATCATAAAACAATAAAAATACAATTATTTTAAAATATTCGTTAGGTTTTAGAAGTGTAAAACTTCTTGAATACTTAAATTATTTACAAGAAAAATCTATTGCTTGAAAAAATCGGTATTACAGTACATAAATTAAAATTTTTAATAAATATAAATAACAATAACTAAATAAAATAATATTAATAAAATTTATTTTACATTAAATATTGTTAAAGTTTTCCTATAAAGTATGAAAATTATATGTTATCGTCTATACACAAGATTTATTAATATGAGAATCGTATTAATTGATTATGCCTAAACAAGAATTGAGAAAAATTAATTACACAGCACGAAATATTTAATATCCGTGAATAAATTTAAAGAAAGATTTGAAAAATATTATATAAAATTATTAATTCTTTTCATATTATCAATATCACATTATCAATACATAACATTTAGTAGGAGAAAAAATAAACATCAACAATAATTGCATTAAAATATAATTTATTTTTATATTGCACATTTTTAGTTCATTCGAATGTACATTTACTCAATTTTTTTTGAACCTTGTAAGTCAATTTTTTAGACCTTTTTTTAATGTGTTGAGCATATTGTCTCATTCTAATGCTAAGGTACTTTTTTGTTATGTAGGACAAAATGTCCAGAGCATGCTCCATGCAAGGAAAGTGAGATAGTTTTTTTCGAGAAATGTCATGCAAGATTAAATCTAGTACATTATTAGTCTCTTTATATTGTAAGTAAAGATTTTCTAAATTGTTTATAAATTTAGAAATCAATGAACTGGGGTATATTAAGCCATTTCCACCACACGAATTTTCATTGCATTCGGAAAAAAGAGCAGTGTAGCAGGATTTACATTTTATAAAAGGTTTTAATTCTTTGCAGACTGACGAGGTTGTAAAAAAATTTAGGCAATCCAAAATTATAGGAGTGGAAAAGTCAGTCTCATCAGCTGTAACAAAATCCCCAAAATCGGAATCAACTCCTCGAAGTGCAAGATTTAAACTTTCTTTAATTTTTTTAATCGCATTCTTTTCCTCATTATCAAACGAATAAATAGTTTTTAATTCTGCGATTGTAATTAATGACTTTGTTGGTGCATTTCCTTGCACCGAGCAGTTTCCTAATTTCGGAGGTTTAAGGAGACTAAAAATGGATAGAATTTTGTAAATTTGGAGGAAAGTTGGTGTCGATGGATGATCATTGCTTCCTCCAGCAAGTCTTATCGTGCCAAAAAACCTCTACATAAATAAAAGACAAGCAAGTTTTGAGTATAAAGCTAAAATAAAATTAAAAACATCGGATACCAGAAAAAAATCGACAGAAAGATTTTGACATGAATTTTAAATTTACGAATCACAATTTTTAAAATAATTTTTGATCAATAAATTCACGCCAAAATCTTTCTGTCGATTGTTTGTTCAGCCATTTTAATTTTCGGACAAATGAAAATTCGGATTTTCAAGAATTCTATCTAATAACAGTTTTTGCAAATAAAAATTCGTTGAATTGGAAATTATGACATTTAAACATTCAAATTACTTAAATTACTTCGAAGATTAATAAATAAGAAAATAAAGAGTTAAAGAAAAAAGCATCCCAATAGAAGTAAAAAGCTATCATAAAAAATAAGACGAAAATAAATGAAAATATACAAAAAGACACACACATAAGGGCTATATATATATTAGTAATTAATTAAGTGGAAAAATTATTGTTAGAATTTTCACACAAAAACGAGAACATTTTCTATATTTTTGAACTGAAATAGTTGAAGAATAAAAAATATTGCAAAACTTACCTCCAAAGCATCCTGATTTAATTTACCAGTGCGCACTGATTTGAAATTGAATTTTTTAGTTAAATATGACACTAAATCCTTCGCAGAATTTAGAGTCATTCTTAAGCCTTGTGCAGTATTAGTGCTCAAAAAGTTATATGGAGATATAAGGCCACACCCGACAAGATCTTCCCAATCATCAAGCCATTTAATAGAATTTTCAATTACCTAAATTTAGAAAAATTAATATTATTGTTATAAAATTATTTAATAATATAGTACATACTTTAAAATCATCAGATTCAACAGTCACTCCCTTTTCTCTGGAAGTTCTGTTCAGTGCATCGAAAAGAGAATTTATTCTTTCACAGAATTGTGCTGTTGAATCGCAGTCGCTAAGTTGATCGTCAATTTGTTGGTAGTGTCTTAACGCTGTAGCCATCGACTTGCTAAAAATCTTCAACAAAAATAATTAATAAATTTTTAAAGTTCATATAATAAATAAATGTATTTCAATTTACAGACTTGCACTGCTAATGAAACCCTCATTTTTAACAAATTGTGAGGAAACAAATGGTCTTCCGTTAGTTTGGGACATTTCCTACTGCCTCCAAATTGCATTTTATCTTGATTAAACACTCTTATAAAATGTTCCCATTTAACGGGCGATTCATCTGGATGGACCTAGAAAAAATGTATTAATCATCAGTATTTTTTATAACATTTTATTAATATAATATAATTTTTTAATAATTACATTCTTACCTTAAATTCAGTTTTTGAAAATAAATTATTGCGAACGTTTTTTATTAAATGAGGTGTATCGGAAAAAAGGAAAATTTTTCTGTCCGGTTCAGTAGGGTGGCAAAATGAATTCTGAAAATTCTTTTTTTCTCCACTACAACCTACTTCGGACCAAAACTTCCTGTTGGGTGTTGCACCATCCGAAACAACACCATGAATTTTAGCACCTGCTCCTTCTAGCAATATAATTGCTTCTAAAATAATTTTGGCTAATGTCACACCATCAGTAGGTCCTTTGGATGCGAACACAGCTACTGGCTGCACAAAATCCTCATCAATAGGTTGAAATAACAAGACTAACCCATGATCAGCTAATTCTGTGACAGAACTCTTTTTTGCTCCATCCCCAAAATCCTGTAATCCTTTATAGGACATAGATTTACTATCGAGCAGCAATCCTTTCCTTGTTCCCATTTCGTCAATAGCGATTAATCCATGACGTGCTGATGGAGGTAAGTCATTCATATGATTTTTGAACAATTTAAAAAAATTGGGATCGAAACCACATGGAGTTTTGATGAGCGATAAATAGCTGAAATCAAATCATGTAAATTAAATTATTAATTCACTTAATTAATTATATGTAAACCTATACAGCAATAATTACCAATACCTTCTTACAGTGCGAATACAAGGTAACGGAAGGATTTTATTATCTCTTAGAAACCTATAAGTCGATGGAGAACGCGTGTGTAAAAGGAGACACAAGACGATCCAGTGTTCTGAATATCTAGCCTGCTTTTTATTTTTCAGTTTCGATGCAGCAAGAATTTCTAAAAATACAACACGTTCATTTTCCGAAAACTTTCTTTGCTCCAAAATTTCTAAAAGCGATTTTTCTGATATTTCATTTAATTCTTTTCGGTTTCGTTCCAAACAATTTTTCAAATGCTTTAAGCGTAAAAAATATCGCTTATTTTTCCTTTGTGAATTTTTTAATTTTTCTTTTATTAATTTTACCTGTTTTTTTTTTGGTAAAAACTAAGATTTGGAACATGAACCTGAGAATTATTTTTTTTCTTTTCGATTCTTCGAATTTTTTGGTCAAGGGTTTTCTTTAATCCTCTACAAAATTTGCAACTTTTTTCCTCCTCATTTGGTGGCAAAAGAAGAGTGCAATTTTTGTGTCGAAGAAATTCTTCTTTATCTTTAAAAGAAATTGAAGTCTCCACAATTGAATTAATATCATGAAATATTTGATTACCGTAACAGTATTTCCAATTTTCAACTTTCTCTATTAAACTCTGAATATCATTAATATTATCTATTTTATTTTTTATTCCCATTTTTTCTAGATTTAACAAATTTCCTGTTACGTATATCGAAACTTTTAATTTCTTGTTAATTAAAATTCTTTTTGAATAAGTAACTTCCATGTCTTTTAAGAATCTACAACTCCATTGCGAGTATTGTATCATGGAACACTGATCGTCTTTATCCTTATAATCGCCTTTTAAAATATTCTGTCGTGACCAAGACGGAGGTAATTTGACAATTTCATCGTTCTGCAGAATTTTTTCAAACAAATTTTCATCATTTAACAGGTTATCTGTTGGATGTTGAAAATTGTTTAAAAATTCAGTAGAGCATGGTGAAGTTTCATTTATAACCTCGATATTTTTTTTATATGCGATTATCTTACATTTTTCTTCCAATATACTTCTTTTTTTTGGAAGCAATCTTTTCTTTAATTCAGGCTTTGTAAGATATTTAGGACAACCAGGAAATTTTGATGGAAGCGCTCCTTGCCTTAGTCGAGGAATTTTGTATGGGCCCTATCAACAATTAAATAAAAATAAGATTCTACATGAATTTTACAAAAGTCGTTAATTTTATTGATTATAATCTTATTGGCTATATTTTTATTTATTATTTCTCACCTAATTAATTAATCTCTTTATGTAAAATAGTTGAAACAAAAAACAAGTATATACTTACGATACCAAGGATAGTTCCATCAGGACCTTTTATTTCTTTTTGCCACAGTATATCCTCCTTTGAAAAATGTAAGGCACACACTTTATGACCTGATTTAATTACAATGTCATCCCTCATTATGGCTTTTTGCCATTTTTTGACATTTTCCTCTCCTTTGGGAACAAGAAAAACATGCTCCTTTTTTGAGTTTGAGTCATACCCTGACGTACAACCTGGAGCAACGCAGCGATTTCCTCCTTTCTTTGCACTTTTAATAGTAATATTTTTATCCACTTTAGGCATTTTCATTAATAATTAATTAAATCAATTTAACAAAAGCACATTTATAATAAATTTTTCCTCGAGAACTGTCAATTTGACAACTTTGTTTCGCATTCATTTCAAAACATCACCGGACAAAAACAAGGTTTACGTGATAAGTAGCGCCATCTACAACTTAGTTGTCAGTTTAGAGGCATGTGAACTTACCATTTTGTACAGTCGATGCATCGGGGTGAATTCCTATTATCATCGAAACTTCATTTGACCGAACTTTCACATATCCGAATTGTCATTTGATATAACTGTTAAAAAGACGAATTTCCATTTAATAGAATTTTTACATATATATATATATTTTTTTTTTTTAAATTAAATTTTCAGTACTAAATGTGATTTATTTTGTATCATATCAATTTTATTCGTTTCAGATTTATTGAAGAAAACAGCTCCCAGTCGAGTAATAGTTGTGGCCTCGGAATTGTACAGAATATCAACTTTGAATATGGACAATTTAAATCCAACCACAACACTTCCAGGCTATTTATATTATGTGTCAAAGTATGCAAATATTGTTTTCACTTTGGAATTGGCACGTCGTCTCGAAGGCACTGGTGTGACGGCAAATTGTCTTCATCCAGGAATGATCGATAGTGGCATTTGGAGAAATGTTCCAATTCCATTGTCCTGGGGAATGGGAATAATTATCAAATCATTCTTCAAAACACCAAAGCAAGGAGCTCAAACATCAATATATCTTGCAGTTTCGGATGAAACTGCAAATGTCACTGGCAAATATTATCTTGATTGTCATGTAAGATATATATCTTTTTTATCATATATTTTAGGGACGCATAATTATATTCTAAAAATCATTAGTAAGAATTTTCATTTTATGGAATATCATTTGTCATAATTATTTTTGAGCCGAATTTTTATTTATTCGAATTAGTATTTTGCAGAATTTTCATCAAAACGATTTTCTTTATTACAGAATATTTAATTTTTTATATAACCGAAAATTCACTTCACAGAATTTTTATTTGTCAGAATTTTTCTTTGCTCGAATTTTCATTTAACATAATAGGCATTTTAAAGAATTTTTATTGGGAAGAAATTCATTGCATAGAATTTCCTTTTGGATGAATTTTCATTTGTTCGAATTATTACTTGATATAATTTCCATATAACCGATTTTTCATACTACAGAATTTTACTTAACCGAAAAATCATTTAATAGAATTTCTAATTAATAGAATTTTTATTTTTCCGAAATTTCAAATGGCCGAACAAACAATCGACCGAAAGATTTTGGCGCGATTTTTAAAATTAACCAATCAAAAATTATCCAGAAAATTGTGATTGGTTGATTTTAAAAATCACGCCGAAATCTTTCTGTCGATTGTTTGTTCGACCATTTGCAATTTCACACAAATAAAAATTCTATCAATTAGAATTTCTGTTAAATGATTTTTCGGTTAAGTAAAAATTCTGTAGTATGAAAAATCGGTTACCTATATGGAAATTATATCAAATAATAATTCGAACAAATGAAAATTCATCTGATAGAAAATTCTATGTAATGAAATTCTACTCAATAAAAATTCTTTAAAATGCCTATTATGTTAAATGAAAATTCGAGCAAAGAAAAATTCTGACAAATAAAAATTCTGTGAATTAAATTTCCGGTTATATAAAAATTCTGTAATATAGAAAATCGTTTTGATAAAAATTCTACAAAATACTAATTCGAACAATTAAAAATTCGTCTCAAAAATAATTATAACAAATGAAATTCCATAAAATGGAAATTCTAACTAATGATATTTTTTAGAACATAATCATGCGTCTCATATTTTATCAAATCTATATTATTATTGATTTTTTGAAACTCATGATTATCCCATAAAAATCATTAGTTAAAATCTTCGTTTTGAAAAATTTTATTAGATATAATTATTTTTTAGACGAATTATCATTTTTCAAATTAACATTTTACAGAATTTCTTTCTAAACAAATTTTTAGTTAATTGATGTTTTAGGTACCGAATTTTTGTTTGGCAGAATTTTAATTCTATTGCATTTATCATTACTCAATTTTTTATTTAAAAGAATTCTTATTTACCCAAAATTTAAGTTAGCAAAATTTTTATTCAGAAAAATGTTATATGATTAAAAATTTTAAATGCCAAAATTTCCAACTCATCGAATCTTCATTTGACTGAATTTTTATTTACACAAATTTTTATTTAATAGAATTCTTAAAACGTCAAATTTTCATTTGTCCGAAATTGTAAATATCCGAACAAACAATCAATAGAAAGATTTCAGTGTAATTTTTGAAATTAACCAATCACAAATCATCAAAAAAATTGTGATTGGTCAATTTTCAAAAATCACGCCGAAATATTTTTGTCAATTATTTATTCGACAATTTACAATTTCGAATTAAATGAAAATTCGGCGTTTTAAGAATAAAATAAAAATTCGGACAAATGAAGATTCAGTGAATTGGAAATTCTGTTATTTAAAAATACGAATCACATAAAATTCGATTGAATAAGAATTCTGTTAAATGAAAATTTGATTAAATTAGAATACTTTTTAATTAAAATTTTTTTTAAATATGAATACTTTTAAATATGAAATTGGGTAAAGAGAAATTCTGTGAATTAAAAATTCATTAAATAAAAAATTCTGTCAAATGTGAATTCGTGAAATAGAAATTCGACTAAAAAATAATTATATCCAATAAAATTTGTTACAATGAAAATTGTAACAATTAATTTTTATGGGAAATTAATGTGCTTCGATTTTTTTAAATTGATTTTTTAATTTCGTTAGTATTCAAAAAAAAAATTTTTACATTTTTTTGTTAAAACGATATGTATTCAGAAAAAAAATTAACCTTTAATTTTCATTCGAAGAGAATTTTTTTTCAAAATAATGTTTCATGAATATAAATTTCTGCACAACTGATTAAAAAATCATTTTTCAGGAATCAACATTATCTTCAGGTGTATCGGATCCAGCAAAGGGGAAAAAATTATGGGAGGCAAGCGAAAATTTTGTTAAATTACAACCAACCGATCCAAAAATTTAAAAAGAAAAACAAATCTTCATTTTCCATTCCGCCCATAAAAGACTATACTATTGAGTGTCAACTTAATAGATTACATTTAGTTTAGCTATAAGTTCTTTTTTTATATTCATTTTGAATAAATTGTTGTTTAAGATGAAAATTTTTGTCCTATATTAATTTTTTACAATAATTTAAAAAAAAAAAAATTTTATTATTGTTAATAACCAATTTATTTACCAATCATCCAACGACTGTAAGCGGTTGAAGAGGAAAAAGTTTTTCCCAAAAATGCATTCGATCAAGATAAATAATTCCATTCCTCATGATAAATTCATTGTTCATTTCTAAATAACAAGGATGACTTGCGGTAATTGGATTCCAAGTGACATTTTCAAAGAGAGAATTCTCCTCGGGAATGGGTTCTCCGGTTTTTGCAAAATTTTCCCAAATTGCTGTCATTCTTTCAAGAGTCAATAATTCCGGATCATTTTCTTTAATAGCTGGAAATTGTGCAATTCCAAAAAGATAAATTAATTCGTCATGATGAACAACACCTGAAAAGTAAAAAAATTTTCATTAAAAATGTTTTAAATTTTCATTAATTGCTTTTTTTTTGTTAAAGTTTTTTTGTTTCTTCAAATTACCAAAAGGCTTTTTAGTGTCTTCCCATATCACATGACTGTAACGACCCTGGTAACTAAATTTATAGTAGTATGTTGGTTTCTTATTCGCTGCTGCCAATAGAGTTACTAGACGATGATGCGAAAAAATAGTAACAGCATCAGCGTAAATCTATAAAATGAATTTCTTAATGACAATCTTCTAATTCGGAATTTAAATTTATTTAGAAACTTAAATCAATTAAAATTGAGATAAATTAAAATTTTGATAATTTGAAACTTAAAATTTTGGTAATTTTAAAATCAAGTCAATTAAAATTTAGATATATTATTGTAACTTTCAATTAAAATTTGGACAAATTGAAATTCGGATAATTTGAAACTGAAATCAATTGAAATTTCGATAAATTAAAATGCAGATATAAAACATAAATCAATTAAAATTTTGATAATTTGAAATTGAAGACAATTAAAATTTTGTAAGTACAAATTGAAATTCGTATAATTTGAAACTTAAATCAATTGAAATTTAGATAAACTAAAATTTGGATTATTTGAAAACTAGCAAAATTAAACGCGCGCCAAATTGAGTATTTAATTGTTTGTTATAAAGAAATTAAAGATTAATATTATCAATAATAATTTAATTTATTAGAATATTATTACATATTAAATGATAATAATGAAAATTATATGTTTACAGGCCTCGGATTATACGACTTTTTCCGACTTTTTTCAAAAATACGACTTTTATCGACTTATTTTAATAAAATGCGACATTTTTTTTACATTTGAAAAAAGTATAAATAAAATACATTTTTTTAGTATAAAATGTAGATCTTCTTTAGATCTTCTTCAATTCAATTATTTAACAAATTTTGAACTAAAATGATTCTTCACTAAATTAATAATTTTTAATAATTTTAATGAAATACATCACAAATTCAATTATATCAAAATTATTTTTCAATTAAAATTTTTATGAAATTTAACAATTGTTTATAATTTAAAAAAAAAATATCACAATAAAATTGAATTATTTTTTAAAAATTTCAATTCAAAATAAACTAAAATTCAATTATTACCCGAAATTTTAATTCAAGATCAATTAAAAATCCACTAATTATCAAAAATTTTCAATTTAAAATTTAATTATTCACCAAGTTTTCAATTTAAAATAAAATAAAATTCAATTATTTTCTACAATTTCTATTCAAAATTAATTATCCAAATTTTCAATCAAAAATGAACTTCAATTAAATTATTATCCAAAATTTCAATTAAAATTAAATTATTTCCCAAAAATTTTCAATTTAAAATCAAATAAAATTTCATTATTCTTAAAAAATTGAATTCAAAATTAATTGAATTTTCAATAATTTGAATTTAAAAGCATCTAAAATTTAATTATTTCTAAAATTTTCCATCGAAATTTTTTTTTTGAAATTTAATAATTTCAATTATAACTCTAAGGAAATTCAATTATTTTTAACTATTTTAATAATATTCTTTATTTTTCAATTAAAAATGTTTTTCAAATTATTGTATTTTGTCCGCATTTTCTAATAAATTTTTAGTGAAATCATCTAAAATTTTAATTAAAAATCACTTAAAGTTTCAATTAATTTCAAAAATCTCAATTTTAAATCTTTGAAAATTCAATTAAATTTAAAAAATGTTTTTCAAAAATTGTTTGATAAATTATTTTTAGTTCTGTAAAATTTAATAATTGTTTGAAAATTAACAATATCTTTTGAAATTTAATTATTTCTAAAATTTTCAACTTTAACCCTTCAAAAAGGATTATTATTAAAAAAAAATTTTTATTTAAAAATCTGTAAAATATTTTTGTTAAAATAAAAAACAAATCCACTTTTTTTGGAATATAAATCGACTTAAACGACTTTTTGTGTCTTTAAGTTGATTCGAGGCCTGTGTTTTTATAATTAATATTTAATAGGTAATTGTTGGCCCCTGGTACCTTAAAAATTAATTTTTAAAAATAAATTTTTTTCAAATTACTATCTTTTACGAAATTTTCTGGCGCATCTTTTTTCTCATCATAAATTTTTTGTATTTGTATGCAATTTTTGAATCAATATACAACTTTAAAAAAAATTTCGTTGGTAAACGTTGTGTACTTTAGCTTCGTGAGTTGAATTTTCGAATTTGGAATTTTAATGAAACTTATTCCGAAATTTGGAAACACAATTATACAACTGTGGCAAAAATGAGAAAAAGAATTGTCAAAATTTGACACGTCATAAGATTACTATTCAAAAAAACACGTGAAATCAGAAAAGGCCAACTTCAAGTTAGGACAGAAGGACAGACCAAGCATTTTATTATTATATAATTAAATAGATTGAAATTTAGTCAGTTTTAAGTTTCTATCGATTGAATATGCATTTGATTAAAATTTTAAATTGAATTGAAATTTAATTCAATAAATGTTTTAACTGATTGTAATTTAAATTTATAATTTAGATTTATTGAAATTTGTCCTAAATAATTTTTAAATCGATAAAAAATTTTCTATAAATTCAAGCTTTGGTCAATTGAATCATTTATGGAGAAGATGAAAGTTTGTATTTTTTGTTCTCTAAATTAATATAATATAATATAAGTTTAGGAATGTTAAACAAAAATTTTTTTTAAACTAATAAATTATTCTCAAAAATTCCTGAACTTTAATCAAATTGTTTTTGAATTGAAAATTCAATTATTTTTTAAATATTATATCAGCAAATTAATCGAATCATGAAAAAGCTAAAAAAAATTTAAAAAATTATCGAAATAGGTGAAAAAAAAATTTTATACAGGTGAGAAAAGATGAATAAGTAATAATAATTTGTAACTTTTTTTGTAAATTTGTTCAATTTCAAAAAATTTCCAAATTTTCATGACAATAAAAATAAAGTGACAATAATAATATTAATATTAATTAAAAAACAATTGTATTTCATAGTGTAATGAAGGTTCCAGATCAAAGAACTGGTTTAGTATTTAAAAAAATGATAACCAATTCTCTGATCTGGATCTTCAATTATAATTATAATTTTAAAAATTTCTTACCTTCCCTAAATTAAGAATATTGTCAAGACTGACAGGCTGATCGTTAAGATAAAATTTTTTCAATTCATGACTGATACATTTGGACCTTGGCGTACCGCGTTGATAAAGAAAACTAATAGGCGAAATCTCATCCCAATTTGCATTTCTCTCATCTATGGTAGATGTATTTCCCTGTCTAGCACGTTCAATAGTCCCTTTCGAATTTAGATAAAATTCATATTTAATTAAAATTTTCAATTTATCCGCAAATAAAAAAAAAAATTAGATAAAAATTAAATATTCATCGGTGTTTTGTTTCAATCAATAAATAATTATTTTAATAAATTTTTGACATTTTTGAACATAAAATAAATAATAATATAATTGAATAAAATTAATTTAATAACGCAGGAAGCTGACAAAAGAAATTATCCTTAAATTATATTAATCATCTTACTCTTAATAACGCCTGCAAATTCATCTTTCGTAACACCTCCGAAAAAAGGAACGTGCTGAAATTTTCCCTTTCGTATTAAATTCGCTGGATCGTCAGTGAGAAATCTTTCTATACCAGGAAATTTGGGTTCCACTACCGGTCGCCATCTCAAAATTGGATCACCATACCATTCCTGATGTTGGAATAAAAAATTAAATATTAAATATTTTAATATAAAAATTTTTAATTGAAGAAATAAATATTCTAAATCAGCCAAATTAGATAAAAAAATTTCATTTCTTTTTGCGTTGATATTTATAATTAGTAATGATTTTTTTTTTGTTAAGCCTACGTTAAATTTAGGAAAAGATTTGCCAAATTCCTCAGCAGGTTTTGTTTTTAGACATTTGACCATTTCCTCAATATTATCAGTGGGACAGTTTAAAATTTGTGCTTGTTTGATGGCGAGATTTTTTTGATGACTCGGAAGTGGTTCTGGCTTAACAGGTGAACCACTCATTGAAATCACCCTATGAAATAGACCCTTGGACATGGGTGACATCATGTGCAAAGCCGCACTCCATGAACCAGCACTCTGTCCAGCAATAGTCACACAATTTGGATTTCCACCAAAATTTGAAATGTGCTCTTTCACCCATTTTAACGCAACCACTTGATCTTTAAAACCATTATTTCCCGGAAGTAATGGATGTCCTGCACTAATGAATCCTAAAATTTACAAAAATTTAATTAATATTAATAATACTAAGGGAAGGCAACGCCTTCATTTTGACCCCTTTTAAATTTTAATGATCGCACACGATGTTATTATTTTTTTTTTATTTTAACTATTTTTCATCGCTAATTTTTGAGGCCCATATGAATATCCCATAAAAATTATTAGCTAGAATTTTCATTTGTATGAATTTCATTTCTCAGAATTTCTGTTTAGACGAATTTTCATTTTTTAAATTAGCATTTGACTTATTTTCTTTGTAAACGAAATTTTATTTAACATAATTTTTTGATACCGAATTTTTATTTAACATAATTTTTATTTTACCAAATTTTTTTTTTTAACCAACTTTAAATTTTAAAAAATTATAATTTAAACCAAATTTAATTTTTCAAAATTTCTCATTCAACAGAATTTTCGTTACTCGAATTGTTTAATGTCAGAATTTTTAATTAACCGAATCTTCATGTGTCCGAATTTTTATTTACAAGAATTATTATTGTTATTTGATAGAATTCCTAAAACAGCGAATTTTCATTTGACAAAAATTACAAATGGCCGAATAAACAAAAGTCAGAAATATTTCGGCGCAATTTTTAAAATAGACTAATCACAATTTTCTTAATAATTTCTTATTGGTCTATTTTAAATTCTGACGGTTGTTTATTCGGCCATTTGTAATTTCTGTCAAATAAAAATTTGCTGTTTTAGAAATTCTATCAAATAAAAATTTGTGTAAATAAAATTCTTTTGAATGAGAAAATAAAAATTCGGTATCTAAAAATTACGTTAAATAAAATTTTGTTTAGAAAGAAAGTAACTCAACAGCTAATTCGAAAAATGAAAATTCGTATAAAAAGAAATTCTGTCACATGAAATTTATACAAATAAAAATTCTAGTTAATAATTTTTATAGTATATTCATGCTCCCCTAATATTTTTAAAAGCTTTTTTTTTATAATTTTTTTTAGAATCTCTCGCATAGATTTTCAAAAATTTTAACTTTCTTCAAATATACAAATTCTAAAATGCTTAAAAATTGATGCAATAATGATGCAATAAAAAAATAACATTGTGGTATCTTTAAAATTTAAAGGGATTAAAAAAAGGTGATGCCGCCCCTTAATTGAATTTCAATTTTTTAAACAGTTTTCACTGTAATTCATTCATGAAATTGATATAAATTTATGACATTAAGAAAAAGTTAATAATAAATAGATTATTATTAATTTTAAATAATTACCCAAAGAAGCAAGACGATAATTGACAGTGACTAAAACAAGATTTCTGTCCAAAAGATATTGTGGTCCATGATAAGTACTTTGAGCAGATCCTGCATAAAATCCACCTGGATGGAAAAAAACGATAACTGGTTGAGATGCATTTTGATTTCCGGTTGGTAACTAAAATTAATAAAATAAATAAAAATTCTTAGAATATTATAGAAATATTCAATTATTTATTTAAAATAAATTAAATTAAAAGTTGTTTTTTTTAACTTTGGAAGAAAAAAAATTACAATAGATATTTTGATTATTATTTATACGTACTTCCTTTGTGTAAACATTTAAACGAAGACAATCTTCAGAAGTAAAATTTATACTCATTTGAGGACACGCCGGACCTTCTTTAGAAGCATCTAAAATATTCTCCCATGGCTTTACAGGTACAGCTTGCTGAAAATTACAAAAAAAAATCACACTGAATTTATTTAGACTCATACATATTTTACTATTATTATTATTATTATTATTATTATTATTTTTGTTATCATTTCATATGACTACTTTGGTTTCTTATATAGGTAAAGATAATTAAATTAAACAAAGAAAAAAATTCAATTTATCCAAATTTGAATTTGTTTTAATTTTAATTCATCTAAATTTCAATTTAATTAAATTTTATTTGATTCAAATTTTAATCGATCTGCAAATTTTAATTCAACCTAAATTATAATTCAAATTTCAAGTTATCCAACTTTTAATCAACTTTAATTTTTATTGGACAAAACAAATTTATTAATTAAATTTTAATCAAAAATGTAAATTTATATAAAATCTATTTAAATTTCAAATTATCCAAATTTTAATTCATTTAAGTTTCAAATTATTAGATTTCTATTCTAATTAATTAAGTTTAATAATAAAATTTTGTCAGGGAAATATCTGGAAATTGAAAATTTTATCCTCGTCGCAACCCAGTTAATATAAAGCGAAATATTATGTTATTTGTTTAATATAATTATTTTATTTGTAATTTAATTTAATTGTGAATAAAAATTCTGTTTTAAAATTTCTATATAAATTATTCACCTGAAAACGTAGTTCCCCAACAGGTGGTTCTGCATATCGAATGCCTCGATATGAATAAATTTCTTTACCCAATCGAGTTTGCATAAATGATCCCTTAATTTTTCCAAGTGATATTGAAACCAGTGTTTTGTCTTTTGCAATAATAAAATTTAAATTGCACACAATTATAAAAAGGTACAAAAATACTAAATTAAATCGCGCCATGATGCGAGGTTCAGTTAATTAACAAAAATATATATGTATATGTAACACGTTTTGAAATGTGAAAGATGAAAAAACTTTTTAAATCTTATCAGTATAACAGAGAGCAAAAAGTGAAATAAATGTAGCAATAATATCCATTTATAACACACTGGTAAGAGGAAAAAAAAATTTATTCTTTTATTTCCAATAAACGTATTTATTATTTTTCCTCAATCAGGATCGACTTTAGATCAAATAGCACCCGAGGCGACTGCCACTATTGCCTGTAACTAATTTTAATTTTCTGTATATAATAATTTTAATGATTTCATATTTTTGATTTAAAAGTTTTTTCTCACACAAAACTTAAAGAAATATTTTTATTTTATTTAAAAACATATTAACTGTATTCAAAAAATAAATTTTAGATACCATTTATTTGGGTCGAATGATTATTCCATGAAAATCGGGACGCATGAATATATAGGCTCTAAACCAAATTTTTTAGAATTATGATTTGATAGAAGCTTATACTTTAGAATATTAATTTTGCAGAATATTTTTATTTATAGACAAAAATTAATTTGACAGAAATTTTAATTTAATCGAATCTCAATTTGATCGAAACTTTGTCTTTTAGAATATTAATTTTACAGAATTGTAATTTAAAAGATACTTAATTTTTCAGAAAGAGGATTAGAAAGAATATTAATTTTGCAAAATATTTATATGCTCGATTATTAATGTTCTAGAAAATTAAAATGATCGAAAATCAATTTGCTAGAAATAATATGACGAAAACTTCAAATTTGACCAATCAGAAATTATCAAGAAAATTGTGATTGGTCAAATATGAAGTTTTCGCTGAATTATTTTTGGCAAATTGATTTTCGACCATTTTAATTTTCTGGACATTAATTTTCTACAGAATAAGAATTTATCAAATCATAACTCTAAAAAAACAATTTTTTTTTTAGAGATTATTCATGCGTTCCTAAAAATTGTTAGAATTTTCATTTTCAAGAATTTTATTTTTATTTTTGTTTAAAGAGAAATTCTATAAAATAAAAATTCTATAAAGTAAAAATTTGTTTAAAAAAAAAAAACTGCCAAATGCCAATTCGAAAAAATTAAAAAACTTCTTTTGAAAAATAATTATATCTAATAAAATTATAATCATGCGTCCCATTTATTGGACCAAAATAATTAGTTGAATAACTCGTAATCTTAAAGTAATTGTTTTCAATCTTCATTTAATTAAGAATTATAAAAATAAGAAATAATATAAAAATTCTCTACTCTTTACCGAGAAGACTATCTCGGCGCATAGTTTTTAAAAGCATAATAATTTACTGATAAATAATGTATATATATATATATGTATTTTCTTTTTTTTCATGAGAAAAACTTTTTCCTTATTGCTTTGCCGTTTCTTTCACTTGTTATTTCCTCAATTATTTTGAAAAGTATTTTTATACACAAGAAAACATTAGTCAGAAAGCAAAGGTAGTGGGAATAATTTATCCCATAATTGCATTCTATCAGGATAAATATTTCCATTTTTCATGATAAGCTCGCTGCCAATGTCGAGATAACATTTATTTGATGGCGTAAATCGTTGCCATGTTACATTTTCAAATATTAAATTATCCTCAGGAATAGGATTTCCAGTTATAGCAAAATTCTCCCAAATTGATGTCATTCGTTCAATTATTTGTACTTCTGGATCGGTTTCATTAAACATTGGAAAACGATTTTCGAGGAAGAAAAGATAAATTAGATCATCTTCATGAACTACACCTGAAAATATATTTTTTTTTTCAGTGATGTAAATTAATTTTTTTCTAAGTATTAAAAACTGATTTTTTGTTAATTAATTACAAATTTAATTAATTACACTAGGAATTAATAAGTTGATAAAAATTAGAAATAATTAAAAATTTCTAAATAAATATTAAATAATTTATTAAATAATTATTGAAAACTACATTACCAAACGGTTTTTTCGAATCCTTCCAAATAGTGTGACTATAACGTCCCTGATAAGTAAACTTATAATAATAAACTGGTTTAGTGGAAGTAGCTGCCAATAAATTGACAAAACGATGTACAGAATTTATGGTTATTGAATCTGCATAAATCTGGAAAACATTTTAAATTTGTTTCAAATTTTCTGTTTTTTCTAAAAAAAAAGATGAAAAATTTGCATTAAATTTTACTTCTCCAAGTCCGTTAATGTTGTCTAAACTAATTGGTAAATCATTTAAATAAAACTTCCTCAGCTCTTTGCTGATATATTTAGATCTTGAACTATTACGTTCATATGAAAAACTGATTGGTGCAATATATTCCCAATTATCATTTCGTTCATTGATAGTTGCAAAATTTCCGTTTTGTGCTCGTTCGATATTTGCTAAACAAATTTTTAAATTTAAATTAATATATTATGTAACGGGGCCAATAAAAATTATGATTTCAAAAAAAAATAAAAAAAATACGATTTTTGTACTTAAATAAGATTTTTTTAATTTAAATCTTTTTTTACTTAATATTTATTTTTAAACTTTCATGTTTAAGTAACTTTTTTTATAAATATTTAAACGATAAATTTAATAAATTTTAATTTCTTTAAAATTTTTTGGCATCAAGAAATTTATTTAAATTTTTTCAACAATTAATATTATTTTAAATTGTTGATTATTAAAACATTAATTACGTACTAAAGTTTAAATAATGACCGGATTCACACCAAAAATTATACAGGCAGTCCGATGATATTTTGCGAATTAAGTTTATAATGAGATATGTTATTGAACTTGCAAATTAAAGAAATACGTTGTTTTTCTAATTTGTATTCAATTTTTTTTTTATTTTTTAAGTTTTTTTTTTGCATTGTTGTCATAAAATTGTCGTAAATTCTGTGATTTTTTAACCTTTTTGTTGCCATTGGGCTTATTTTTTTTTAAATTTTTTATTAAAATAAAAATAAAAATATTTTATTCAAAAATAATTTCAAAAAATAAATAAAAAATCAGCATATATGTACTATTTACATTAAAAAATTTCATTTGGTATTTCTTTTGTGTTTGTGAAGAGAAAAAAAATATTTTCATTTTTCCATTATAAACTGAAAAAAAATTTCTTTTTAAAACCAAATTTTTTCGTTTTTTTTTTCTCAAAAAAGTTAAAATATTATATTGTAAATTATCAACATTTTTTACTGTTGCCTTTTTAATAAAAATTTGTTTTTTTGTTTGAAAAATTAAATTTTTATCCTTATTATAATTAATTTTCGTAAATAAATAGTTTATTGCAAATTAATTGTGTTTTATATTTTTAATTTATTTGTTTCCATTTTAATAATTCAATTTTATTGTAAAAATTGAACAAGTTATAATCTACCTTTTATGATTCCAGCAAATTCATCTTTCGTGACGCCAGCAATTACAGGAACATGATGAAATTGGCCTTTTCTTATTAAATTTGCCGGCTGATCAGTGAGGAATCTTTCCACTCCAGGAATTTCTGGTTCGACTACTGGCCTCCATATTACAATTGGATCACCGTACCATTCCTGTAATTTTTTTCTAGCATTTAAAAAAAAAAAAAAAAAAATTATATTAATTCCATTTAAAGTTAATTCATTTAAAAACAATTGAATCAATTAACTTAAAAGGAAATTTATTTTGAAAATTAACTGAAGCAAACGAAATTTTTTTCCAATTAAACTTTTCCAAATAAATAAAAATATACTGAATGAAAAAATTGTTATTTAAATTGATTGAAATTTTAAAAAAGAAAATACTAACAAAAAACTTGCTTAATGAATTTCCAAATTCTTCTTGAGTCTTATTTTTCATACATCCGAGCATTTCTTTGACATTGTCACTGGGACAATTTAAAATTTGAGCTTGCTTCTTTGCCAAATGTCGTTGATGATGAGGAAGAGGTTCTGGATTCACTCCTGAACCACTCAATGCAATAATTCTGTGAAATAGTCCATTTGACATTGGCGATACCAAATGAAGTGTCACACTTCGTGCACCTGCACTTTGACCAGTAATTGTTACACAATTTGCATCGCCACCGAAATATTCAATATTATTTTTAATCCAACGAAGAGCAGCGACTTGATCTTTAAGACCAAGATTTCCTGGCAGTAAAGAGTCACCAGTACTCATGAAACCTAAAATTTTATGCGAAATATAATTAAAATTTTCTTTTTATTCCTATGAAATTTTTTTTTTATCTCAACGGAAAATAATTAAAATGATTTACAATTTTTGTAATTTTCTATTTTTCATAATTTTTTCTATTTTCTACTTTCGATAAAAAAAAAAATTAAAAATAAATACTTTAAACTTAAAATAACTTTCATTCTCGCTTGTTTTTATTTTATTAAATAAATAATAGAATAAATTATATAAGTAGAATATAAATTTTTTTTAAAATAATAAATCAAATACATTCTCGTATTTATTATATGAGAATGTGAAAATAAATTAATTATAAATACCCAATGAAGCAAGTCGGTAATTAACTGTAACTAAAACGATGTCTTTATCCATTAAATATTGAGGTCCATACTGATAACTTTGACCTGATCGAACAAAAAAACTACCCGGATGGAAGAATACGATAACAGGTTTATTTGTTATATTTTTTTTTATTGGTAACTGAAAAATAAAAACTTTTTTTAAAATTTTCATTAGATCGAATTAATTTTTATTATAATCAATGAAATAAAAACGCAAATAATAAATAAATTTAAAATACTAAAATAAAATTATGAAAATAAATTTTATAATACGTGCTTCTTTTGTGTAAATATTTAATCGAAGACAATCTTCTGACATTAATCGAGAATGTGGTTGAGGACACGAAGGTCCTTCCTTAGAGGCATCAAAAATATCTTCCCAAGACTTTATTGGTACAGGTGGCTATAATTTTTAAACAATTTTTTTATTTCTTTAAAAATAAAATATTAAACATATTTATAATTCTTTAATTTTTTTTCTTTCAGAAGACAAAATTAACAATTTTTAAGCAATAACTTTTTTTACTCATTCACGGAGAAAAATGGAAAAATGAATAAAGTAACTTTTACTACTTTAAAAGTAAAACCGGAACTGTCCGAAGTTTCTGCTCAATTTTGACTCCAGAAATAGTAAAATTTACTATTTCCGGAATAACTTTTACTATTTCTGGAGTAAAAAAAAGTTATTACTTAAAAATTGTTATTTTTGTCTTCTGAAAGAAAAATATTTTTAAAAAATAATTATTTGACGCAAAATTTTGACTTGACATCATTTTTTCTGAATAGTGTATAAATTACATCTTCAAAAATTGATTGAAATTAATTTTTACTATACTTTAATTATAGCGTTAAAAGTATAATTAAAAATTATTTTTTAATTTGAGGTTATGTTACAGTCACCATCCTCCTTAATAAAACATAATATTTTTGTATATATACCTGAAATCGATTCTCGCCTGTTGGAGGCTCTGCATATCTGATACCACGAAACGAAAAAATTCTTTTACCCAAACGTGTTTGCATAAAGGATCCCTTTATTTTTCCAAGAGGAATTAAAATTTCATTGTTATTTTCAATAAATGCATTATTTAATTTACAAAAAATAATTATAATACAAAATAGAATTAATTTTAATTGTTTCATATTTTTCTTCTTTCACTATATATATAATTTGTGTTTAAATATTTCCAATGCGGTAAAATACTATATAATGATAAACGCGATGTAAACAGTTTAACAAGTTCACGATTACTGAAATATGATTAAGACAACTTCTGTCATTTATTGACTTTTATATCGGTAGAGAAATATTTACACGTCAAATAAAATAAAACTAAATTTTTATCTGAATGTATTTAGAAATTTTTTTCACTCGGAGCTAAATAATTATTTATTTGTTTGACGCAAATAAAATTTTTATTACAGAACCAAACAAATATTTATTTCATTCTCAGACAAATGTGACGCGATTTAAAGAAAGAGGGACCTAAGAAGCAAACGAATTATAGGTTATGTTTACGAGAGTTTTATCTTTATTAAAATTTTCTTTTTATTTTATGTAAAATCAAAATTTATTAAATATTTCAGATGCAATGAAAACGTAAACGACAATGATTTATATTTGATTCTCTTTGTGAATTTTCACTTTAAAATTTCAAAATAAAAACTATATTTTGCTTTTTAGGTCCCTTTCTTCAAAGCGCGTCACATTATTGGCGAATCAAACCGACAGTGGCGCCGTCCTGGTGCATAGCGGAAGGACTAGATTTAGTGGGAACAAAATTTTTAAAATGCATGGAAAAGCGAAAAATTATTTTAATAATTAATTCACTAATGGAGTGAAATAACTATTAGTGAATTAATTATTAAAATAATTTTTCGCTTTTCCATGCATTTTAAAAATTTTGTTCCCACTAAATCTAGTTCTCTTGCTATACACCAGGGCGGCGCCACTGTCGGTTTGATTTGCCAATAGCAAGAGGTTCTCAAATTTTGTACCACACTTCAAGTATATAAAATATGGAACATTTTTTAAAAATTTTTTTAAATTGAAATAAAATTAATTTTTTGTAGGATGCAAATTTATGGAAAAATATTAATAAATTAGAAACATTATTTTATTTTCATTAATAAAAATTTATTAATTCAATGCTTGCAATTGTGAGAATTTTTATGTCTCGGAGGCAAAGGAAATAATCTATCCCACAATTTCATTCTTTCAGAATAAATTACACCATTTTTCATAATCATTGAGCTATTATTAATTTCCAAATAGCGTTTTCGCACTGGTGTAATTTTCTTCCATGTAAAATTATCAAATAATGAATTATCATTGGAAATTGGTTCGCCGGTTTTGGCAAAATTTTCAAAAATTGCTGTCATCTTTTCCACCATAATTATTTCTGGATCACCTTCGACAAATTTGGGAAAACGTGACATATAAAATATGTACATCAATTCATCATGATGTGAAACACCTAAATAAAAAAAATAATAATATTAAGTAAATTTAAAATAACATACACGTGAAAATTTATAAAATAATTTCAATTATTTTTTTTTAAATATTATAATATAATTTTAATTATTGTCTGCAAAAATATCACCAAAAGGTTTTTTAGTTTCTTTACAAACAACGTGACTGTATCTTCCTTGATAGGTGAAATGGTAATAATAAACAGGATATCTTGATGAAGCTGACAATAAATTAATGAATCGATGCTCAGAAAATATGATGAGAGAATCAGAATAAAGCTGAAAATCAAATTTATAAGGAAATAACAATTTTTTAATTTTTTTTTTTTAAAGTTGCTCCAAAACAAAACTTACTTGTCCTATTCCTTCAATATTGTCCAAAGTAACATGATTATTGATATAAAACTTTTTTAATTCATTACTAATACATTCTGTTCTTGATGTATTTCTTTCATATTGAAAACTTATAGGTGCAATATGATTCCAATCGGAATTCCACTGATCGAGAAAAGTGCAATTTCCTTGCTGACAAAACTCTATTGGAACTATATAGATCAATGATTTTATTTCAGTTAAAATATTATAATTTTAAAACAAAAATAATAATACTTTATAAAATTAGAATTTTTCTTAATTTAAGAATTGTTTCTATAACTTAGAATAGAAAACCTTTAAGAATACTGTTCTTAAATTTAGAATTTTTAGTTAATTCTTAACTGTTTTTCTTTTAAATTTTCTTCAACTTACACACAATAACACCAGCAAATTCATCTTTATCAACACCTCCAATAACAGGAACTGGTGCAACTCTTCCTTCTCTTATTGAAATTACTGGCTCCTCCGTAAGAAATCTTTCAATACCATCAACTTTTGGTTCAACAACCGGTGTCCATTTTAAAACTGGATCACCGTACCATTCCTGAAAAAGTGATGATGAAACATTTAAAATTATTTAAAAACTAAAACAAATAGAGGCTATAGAAAAAATTAAACATATATGTCTTAATTTCAAAAAAATTAAATTAAAATATTAAAAATTATTTTTAAAAAATGTGATGACAGATTATTTTGTGTTACATCTATATAAAGACGTACATAAAATATAGGCATTGAATTAGCAATGTCTTGAGCTGGTTTAGTTTGCAAACAATCAACAATTTCGTCAATGGAATTAGTGGAACAATTAAAATATTCAGCTTGTTTGATGGCCATATCTTTTTGATTTGTGCCCAATAATTTTTGATAAGTGACAGCGCCACTCATTGCAATTGCTTTATGAAACAATCCTCGTGACATTGGTGACACTAAATGCATTGTAACACTCCATGATCCTGCACTATAGCCTGTAATTGTCACTGAATTTGGATCTCCACCAAATACTTCAATATTTTGTTTTATCCAACGAAGAGCAGCCACTTGATCTTTGAGACCCATATTTCCAAGTAATTTTGGATGATCAGCACTCAAAAATCCTAATTAGAAAAAATAATCTTCTTATAGTAATCTGGTTAATAATTATTTGTTAATTAGTAGACTGTGTATTTTTTCTATTAATTAATCTTTATTGGTTATTATTTTTCCACACTAATGAATACCGTCAACCGGAACTATTCTTGTACATCAGGGATTATTATGGTATACACTAGTTTTTTAATTTGTAAAATCTTCATTTCGAAATGTTAAAATTTGACATCTATAATTGAGGCTCTGGATCTTAAAAGGTCCTATGCTCGAACTAGCAGCACAAGTTTTGGTTCCTGGAGTTAAAATTTGATATTGAAAATTGTAACGCCAGAAGCCAAAAGTTGTGATGTGAATTCGAGAGTAGATCCTTTTAAGATTCGCTTTTAGCAATCAGAAAACAATTTATAAAGACATACAATGGGCTAATTTTTTTCATTAAGTACTTTAAGAGAAAAGTATCAAAAACTAAAAGTCCAACACTTGTAGAGCATATTCTGGTACAACATTAAATAATTATTATACAAAAATTAATTTCCCAATAAGTAAAAACAATCCCTGGTTAAAATTCCTAACTGCTTTCGGATTAATCCGTAATTAGTCCGAAACAGTCCGGTTTATGGTCAGGTTTTTGTTCTCTGGAATTATTTCTATAAAATCCAAAAATTTTCCAATTTGTGTAACTATAGTGAATCCGGAATGAATCAAATCTAATCCAAAGTCAGTCTGGTCAAACATAACTAGTGAATACAGTTTCCGGATTGAGATGCATAAATAAGCAGTGAAGATAATTTTTTAGAATTATGTTTTATTAGAATTTTATTTTGTAGAATATTATTTTTGCAGAAAAAATAAATTGTACAGAATTTTAATTTTACAGACATTTGTTCGAATTTTCATTTTACAGGAAATGCAAATGTTCGAAAATCAATTTGACCAATCGGAAATTATCATAGAAATTATTATTGATCAATTTTAAACTTAGCCCCAAAATAGTTATGTCAAATTGATTTTCAACCATTTGCATATTTTGTAAAATTAATATTCGAATAGATTGAATATTCTGTAGTTAAATCAATATTCATTCTAATCTTCTTTCGGATTCTGTATAATTAAGATCCTTTTGAATTACTATTCTGCAAAATCAATATTCTACGAAACAATGTTTCGCACAAAAATGAGATTTGATCTTTAACTTCTGGATAATTAATTTTATTCTAAATAAAAATTCTGCAACATGATAATGGAAATTCTGTAAAATTAAAATTCTGCAAAATTAATAAGATTCTTTTAAATTACTATTCTGCAAAAATAATATTTTACAGAATAAAATTTTATTAAAACATAAATAGTGAATTCTAAAAAATTATCTTTAGTGCTTGTTCATGCATCTATAACTAAATCCGAATTCGTTACATACAGATTTACGATTATTTCGGATTCCTTTCTGTTTATGATTTTTGTACAGACTGACTGATGCTGACTTTGTAATATTAATTCGTAATTTTTCCGGTCTCATTTCGGATTAGAATTTTTTACCCGACTAAATCCGTAATTGATGCGGACTCATGTCGGATTATTCACATAGAGATTTCATATTATTCCGGTCTTATTTCGGATTCAATTTTTTTGAAAGTACTGAAAACTGAATCTGGATTGTTTTTTTAATCGAATTAAATTCAGATTTTTGCGGACTAATTGTGGATTGTTTTTATTTTAATTTCGGGCTAATTCTGGATTGATTTTGGAGTTGTCTTTTAGTTCAAACTGATTGCTGACTAATACAGATCATTTACGGATTGTTTTTGTATAATTAACAGACTAAGTTGGACATGATTTTTCCGGATTTTAATCTGAAATTAATCCTTTCTATCAGGAACTTCTGTGCTTTAAACTAAATAATTTAAAATATTTTTCTAAAAAGTTTAGAATTTTGTTTAGACGTAACTAGAACAAAAAAAAAATTACTAGTTTTTGAGCGCCCCGGTTAACGATATTAATTATTTTTTTACTTTCTTAAAATAAAATTATAAAATCACTTATTGTTTATATACCTAAAGAACCGATTCGATAATTAATAGCGACCATGACAACATTTCGATCTAATAGATATTCTGGTCCAAATTGATCGCTTTGACCGGAATAGGAGAAAAATCCTCCTGGATGAATAAAAACTATAACTGGTCTCTTTACTTTTTCATTTTCAGTTGGCAACTAAAAACATTAAGAGTTAAGAATCAGAAATGAAAAAATTGTTGCAACAAATGTATTTTATGAACGAAATGAAAAAAAATTACTTATGTAGTTGAATATAAAAAAAATTTGTTCAAAATTTAATAACACTAAAATTTTTTTACTAAAAATACTAATAAAAAATTATATTTAAATATACTATATATTTATTAATTCTGTCATTACCTTGGTTGTGTATACATTCAATCGAAGACAATCTTCGGACATTAATGTGTAATTTAGCTGCGGACATGCTGGACCCTCTTTAGAGGCATCGAAAACTTCATCCCATGGTTTCACAGGTACAGGTGGCTATATAATTTATATTTTCATTGACAAATATATAAAAAATTTCAATATTTATAAATAATATAATAAAAATAATAATAATTATTATTATTATATAAGCTTATAAATAACTAATTTTTAATTCAAACAAATATCTAACATATAATACTTACATTTTAATAAAAACAAAATAGTTAATATTAAATTATAATAAAATTAATTTTTAAATTTAAATTAAACTCAATATATTTTTAACATATTTTAACGTTTTGGATATTTTTCTTAATGAAAAAGTATTATTTTATAAATAAAAAATTTTTCTACGCTTGAAATTAATTTTATTTTTCAAAAAAAAAATTGTTTCAAATCCTATTCATATAATTCTCACCTGAAAACGAAGTTTTCCTGTCGGAGGTTCAGCATATCTTATACCACGAAAAGAAAAAATTTCTTTACCCAAACGTGTTTTCATAAAAGAGCCTTTAATACGACCAAGGCCATTTATTTTAATATTTAAATTCTCTTGTGCAAATGTTGCATAACAATTCCAAAATACAGTAAAATATAAAAAATTGAATAAAATTTGCCTCATTTTAATCGTCATTATTATTAAAAAAAAGGGAGATTTTAATTATTCATTTGCGACTAATTTAAGATGTTTTAATAATATTAATTATTATAATAATAACAATAGTAATTATATTATAAATAATATAATTTAAAATTTGAATATTTATGTATTTGCAAAAATTCAATAACAAAATGATTGTAGTTCGAGACTGCTGCAAATACTAAAATAATAATTCAAGTGAAGAGAATTTTTATACTTTTTCCAACAAGGAAAAAGTTGTGGAAATACCAAATGCATAGAAATATATGAGCAATAATGCTATCGTTTAAATATAGAAAAAAAATCTACTGATTAAATAACTAAACTGACGTAAATTATATTGATATTTATATTAACGGGATTCAAATTAAAAAATATAATTTACTTTTTTTTTATCAGCGTTAAAATTAGAATATACACAATTATAAAAAAAAATTTATGCCAATTTTTAACTAGATTTAAAAAAAAATCTTTATTTGCTTGATATAAAGTTTTATTTGATTGCTATAAAAAAAAGTATGAATTTTGGATGGAAAAATTTTATTTAATTAACATTCTTTTTATAGACAAAAATGTTTGTATATTTCAAATCTTAAAAAAAGATAAGATTCATAAAGTGCTAGTTTTTTTCAATGAAAAATAAAATGAATATAAACATAATAAAATAATAAAATAAATAATTTTTATACTATGTGAAAAGGAAATTATTTAGATTTCGAAATGTTGAAGTAAAGTAATTAAAATTATTTTTTTAATCTCTCCTATTTGTTTAAACATATTTTCCTTTATTATAAATAAACTTTTGTTAAATACATTTTATTTACTTTTTTCAACTATTTAATTCAACTCGTATTCAGCAAACATAGAAAGCTGATTTTTTTATATTTTGAAGTGGTTATTTTCCGCGAAGTCTTTCAGTGAATGTCGGCCACCCTTAAATTAATTAAGATGCTTTTACAGATAATTCAAATCTCATACCATGTTAAATAAAACAAATTAAAAGCGACAATTTAGGTTAATTGATTAAATGAAGTAATTTTAATGATTTCACAACCTGTTCTTTTACATGACAATTACAAATAACAAACAAACATTTTTAAATGATTTTATTTTTATTGACGTGTGCCAAAAATGAATTATCAAATTAATAATCACTCATTATATTAATTGTCTTTTACTTTTTAATTGCAATACTTTGTCGTCTTATCTGAAGGTCACTAACTCACTCACTCTACTCTGAGATTTCGATAATCTCGAGATATACCAATTAGGACTTAAATTAATTGTTAATTAGTTTAAAAATTGTCATTAGTTTAAATTAATTGTTTAATGGAAAATAGTAATTTCTTTATTTACTTTTCAAAGAATATTAATATCAATATAACAATATTGAGTTTATTATCTCTTTGTTACTTCCATGAAGTTCATAACGTTTATATGATCAACGATTTAGGAGAAAAAGTATTTTTCCATTCAAATCTATTATAATTTCTAGTTTGAAAAAATTCATGCAATGTTTTTTGATAAACAAATTTAAAAAAAAATTTAAGGTAACAAATCTTAGGTATTATTTTCTGCGTTAAAAAAACTCTAATGAATTTGTTAAGCTGAATAGGCGTGTTTAAAGGTCCAATTATAGTCTTTTTTGAATTTTTTAAAAAAAATAATTATTTGTACACTTACAAGTTCAAGAAATGACAAAAAGTTGATAGTTTTTTTTATACCATACAATTTTCAATTTAAGATAAAAAGTAATTATTTTTACGTAAATAATTTGCTTCACCGTCAAAATCGATTATCAGATAACTATACATCAAAATAAGGAATCATTAATTATAAATAATAAATACACAGATTATTATCCGTTCATTCAAATATTTGCTTACAATTCCATAAACACTTGGTTGCGTTGATGAAAAAACAGTTAAGAAACTCTAAGGTTTTATCTAAACATTTACCTAGCTTTGCAGGAACAATATTTGCACTTAAAAACAAACAATTATTTATTTTTATTTATTTATTTAATTACAATGTACGGGCTTACAAATAAAAAGTTAAAAATGCCCTTTAGTGCAAAAGCACTTAACATTATAAGAAGATATAATGAATGTAATCACAGAATGACGAAATCATGTAGGTGACTTATAGACTAATACAAAATTAAATTTCGTAGGTCGTTTGTGAATTTGCCTAAAGATATACCAAAGAAGTCTAACGCGTGACAGTACTCGTTACCTCTAGTACAAATTCTGTTAATAACACTGTTGTCTAAATAGTTAGATTTATTGAATTTAACTCTGAACAGTTTTTGATTTCTTAAACCTTTTGAAGGAACAATAAAATTTATGCTTGACAATATCGATGGACAATCGATTAATCCGTTAATAATTTTGAACAATAATAGTAGGTCCAAAAAAATAATTCTGGAGTAGAATTTTGGAACCATTAGTATTTTTCTTAAATCTGTATAATCATGACTGAGTATGTTGTAATATACACCAACTTGTCTTGCTGCAAAACGGAGAAATTTATTTTGTACACGCTCTAGTTTTAACAATTGGTACTCTTGGTATGGGACCCATATTGCTATTGCAAATTCTAATTTTGATCTGGCTAAAGCAAAAAATAATGACTTTAAGACCACTATGTTCTTAAAATGACACGCATTTCTTTGGATTGAGCCAAACACTTTGAGTGCCGCGTTAACAGTATTAGCAATATGAGTATCAAACCTTAGATTAGATGAAAAAGTGACCCCCAAGTCACTCAGGTTGGAAATCCTACTCAATTGTTCACTGCCTACAGCATAGTTATACAAAATTGGATTTTCATGTCTAAAGAAAGATATTAGACTACATTTCTTAACATTAAGAGTAAGCCTTATATCGGCAGACCATCTCACGAGATTGTTAAGATCATTTTGTACATCAGAACAATCATCATTAAACGTAATAACTTTATAGATTTTTAGATCATCCGCAAATAATGAAAAATTGCAATGCAATATTGACTTATCTACATTATTAATGTATAACAAAAAGAGAAGAGGTCCTAGGTGAGATCCTTGGGGAACACCAGAAGTAACGATAAATGGTAACGCGTATTCGTTATTTACACGTACAGACAAGTAACGATCTTTAAGATAACTACCGAACCACAATATAAACCCGCGAGTGAATCCAAATGTGTCTATTATATCTAGTAGTATGCAATGATCAACTTTATCAAATGCCTTAGAGAAATCAGTGTATATTACATCAACTTGTTTGCCATCCCCAACGTTTTCAAATAAAAATTCAGTAAAACATGTTAGATTTGTAATTATTGAACGTTTCTTCATAAAGCCATGTTTTTGTAAAATTACAGAATGTGAAACATGACTGTAAATAATATCATAAATCAAGCTTTCAAATATTTTTGATATAGAGCTAAGAATTATTATTGGTCTGTAATTCGATATATCGTTTTTGTTACCAGATTTGTAAACTGGAACAAGAACACCTTTTTTCCATTCAGAGGGAAAAATTCCCGACTTTAATGACATATTAAATAGTATATAAAGTGGCTCAATAAAGTACTCATGACAAGATTTTAAGAAAGAAGGGGGGATATCATCAGGTCCCGCCCCCTTATTACCATCAAGACCTTTAAGTTTAATACGAATGTCTGATCTTTTAATTAACACAGAATGTAAATTATTAAAATTTGAGAAATCAGAGTTAGAATTGTTACTGTTATTCAAACTATCATGATAAACATTCTTAAAAAATTCCGCAAATAAATTGGCAATATCTCTATCGTTGTCGACTTCCACATCTAACAATTTCATTATTTTGGGTATACCACTATCATTATTGATTAATTTAGTAAATTATCCTTTTAATGTAGTATAACAAACTTTCGCTGATGAAGATGACAAATGAAATAGAATATCCAACAAGTAGAATCTGGAGTAGTAAAGGTAATAATGAGAATTTCTCAGGGTTTGGTGAATCTTTTACATCATCACTTATAAGAAAATCAGACGGTTTCATCCAATATAATGTCAACCCAAATTCTAACAGATTTGTTATAATTTTGTTAAAATCATTAACAAATGGTGATGCTGGTTCTAGAACCATAGCTTGGGGTAAATAATAGAAAAGTTCGTCCACGACTTTCAATTGAGAACTTCCATCTAAATTTTTGTATTTCTTAATGAAAAACATCGCCATGGTATATCTAAAGAAACACGTGACATTTCTGTGTTGAATTAACATTTGTAAACATTCTTCATCTTTCGTTAAAATCAAAGTCTTCTTTAGTAAATCTCTAATAACTGGATCTTTATTACCAGAAAATACAGATGCATAATTTATTCTCATCATTGGGGTAAGATTTGTTCTATTTAGTTTTTCTAAAGTATCTATGATTGTCACTGAACCCATTGTTATTTTTACATCCGTTAGAATTGAAAAAATCGTCGAAGAAAATACCATGAACGAGATCAACATTGATGCAAATACAATTTTCTCGTGTTTCTTTTGAGGTTCCTTGGGAACAGTGAAACCAAGCGTTGCTTGTAGTATGTAGTCAAAAGACCATAATTGATCATCAAATTTCATAATCCATGTGATCCCCTTTAAACTTAATATTAGAATGACAAGGAAAATCAAGGACGTTTGATAGCGTACATTCCAATTTGAATTCTCGGGTACCGGTATTACAGCACAAAATCGATCAAAATCGATAACTTTTGTTCTAGCAAGAACTGTTTTTCTTAAATAATTACTCCAGTTTGTAATGTATCGAATTCTTTTAGATGATAATTGACGTATAAGATAAATTTTTTTACTGTCTTTTGATGGATTAAGTACACCGAACCATTCTACTTGTGATGCAACTTCTACTGTGGTAAAATGCAATTTTCCTGCAATTTCACGTGATATCTGTGCCATTGGCCCAGTAACATTAACAGGAAATCCTTTAGAATTCCGATTTACAAAAACAAATGGAGGAAAATTAAATGATCCTATTTTCATTTCAAAGTCATTCATGTTTTGCAATTTATTGACAAAGATTGGTTGCTTTTCATTAGTGTAATTTTTAATTTTATACATATTAGTAAACGGATTGTACCAATGAATCATTACATTTTCTGTGCGTGATGAAACTAAATAA